GAGATACACAGAAGTCTCAAAGGAAAATCAGGTGCTTTCCATGAGCTTTACACACACGTACTGACAAAACCAACAAGTTGCAAAATCATCTGCATAATTATACAAGGTACCTTTATACATCCCTATATTCTCATTGAGCATGTATGCCATGGTGATGCAATGTTCCTGAGGTCTTGATGCTACCAATGTGTTTTGCATTTAGCTTCAAAGATCACATCATGTTCATCTTCTATTTGATTTTAAAACTGCATAAAACTTATTCAGAGTACAAGCCTCTATGCAAATTCCAGCTTGCCTTGGGTGCCACTTACTAAATTAGACAAACACATTTCTTTCAACAGAGCACAAAAAGTACTTTAAAAAGCACGGAAACTTTTTCCCCCTCCAGTTATCCTATACTGCACTACTATGGAACAATTGTTCAGCAGAGATAAATTAGGGTGAAATATATCTTTTTGGATAGCAAAATACCTTCATGTTTTCAAGCAAGCTTTTCCAGAAGGTAGCAGTACAACACTTTCTGATTTCTAACTTGGAGCAATAACCTCTAATGTAATTCAAATAACAGGCCATAAAAAGAAGTAAGAAAAGGAAGGAAATTGTCTTTATAAGTAGTCTGAGACTATTGTAATTCCACTTTGCCACTGCTGCTGGATTCTGACATATAATATCAAGAGGACTATCAAGCAGCAAGGAGGAATTCAACGTGTTTGCCTTACAAATTAAAATGGGCTTTCTGCTTCTGACAATAATGAAGAGACCAACCTATCTTTTGGAACAGAAATAGAAATGGCACTATTATTTATATGACCTAAAATTTACCTTTTTACCTCTCTCAAGAAGATATAGACAAATGCTGCTCATTTATACACTTGAGTAACCTCTTTTAAAGCAACAGTGGCATTATGTAGATAACATGCGCAGGGTTTTCTCAGAAGTCTACATAGTGTTCATCACTCTACAGCGGTCTTGGCTAGACTGACACACATGAAAACCATATCTAAAGGAGGCTATTCTTAAATGGGTAAACACTTTGCAAAAAGCTGCATTCTCCTTAAATGAAGCTGAGAAGATTCTTGTTCATTCAACTCTGTCTGGGATAACTGTGAAGCCATTATCACAGCCCCTTCAAACCACCATGTTTCTATACCAAAGGCATTCTCAGATAACAACATCCTGTGCCAGCTACTCTGCTGCTTGATTTCTGGGGACAAGTGGGACAGAAGGAAATGCAGCCCCCCTACTTTACCCCCTACTTTATCAGGGAATTTTCCACTTGCTGATCAAGGAATGATTGTCAAGAAAAATTAAGACCAAAAGGCAGCTTTATATGTTGGCATGGGCAATGTATAGAACATACAGGAAAGGCTTTTGTCTTCTGTTTAGCAGCAGTAAAGCTAAAAGAATCAAAATAAAGAAAGCTAAAACTTCCATTTTTGGTAAGCCTGTTATGAACTCTTCATAGAGCCTATTTGAAAGAATACATATTAAAATATATTACACTGTATCACGTTGCATTACATTATATTAACTATATCCTATTCTAGTCCATTCTGTTGCATTGCATAGGGAAACCTATTACTGAAACTGTAACCCGTCAAAACGCAGGGTTACGATTTGACCACGAGGTGGGAGCATTGCTCATCACATATACCCAGAGCACATCAGGCTTTCTCTCTCTGGTCTAGCTGTCTGTTGGAAACCACAACCCTCGGATTTCTGTGCTGCAACCTGCAAAAGTGCATGTTACCACCAGAATAATGAGTTTCCAGAACAAACACACACAAAAAAAGAACCTTTTAATTGGCTGTAATTGCTAGCTGAAAAAGAATATCTGAATAAACTGTGTTCGGTCTCCAGAACAAAGTTGTACTGAAAACTTTACACTGCAGAATCTATTCCCAGCAGGATAAAAAATGCGAAGATGGTAGAGATAACCTGTGAAAGTGGTAACCATAGTATCATAGGATAGCTGGAGTTGGAAGGGACCTTTAAAGGTCACCTAGTCCAAGCCCCTTGCAATGAGCAAGGGACGCCTTCCACTAGACTCAGTTGCTCAGAGCCCCATCCAACCTGACCTTGCATGTTCCCAGGGTCGGGGCAGCCAGAGCTCCTCTGGGCAACCTGTGCCAGGGTTTCACCACCCTCATTCTAAAACACTTCTTCCTTATATCTAGTCTGAAATGGGAGGAATAATTTTCTCATTTGTTGTCAGTTTTGTGAGTAGAAAAAGATTGCAAAAAAGGTTTGTAAATGCAGATAAAAATCATGTCCATGTGACTGCTTATAATTTTCCATTCGAAGTGTTGAAAAGCAACTATTTCACATGGGAAAGTCAGGTTTTCCAAAATGGTTTAATAATGTTCTATCCCACAGGAAACATTTGATGAACTACTTGTGCTGATGATGTCTCTGATAGGGCTGTGTCTTTTCTGTGGGAAATGGCAGCCCCATCTCTCTTTTCTTGGAACTGAAGAAAAAGGGCAACAGTCCTGAGTAACAAGCAGTATCTCCCACAGAAAAAAAACCCCACAATAATATGAAGATTAGATTAACATGAGAAGGGGACTAGCCTATGGTCAAGAGACTTGCACAGGATTTTGAAGCAGTTAAGACTGAAATCTAAGGCATGACTGCAGCTCACATAGCTATCCTCAAGCTAGCTTAAAGTAGTCAGCTTTGGTACGGATAGACCCAGTTGTACGAAGCTCTGGCTAGATGCATACGTAGTTCCTTGGTCTCAGTAAGCCTGATCCCTGTTCCTGGAGGCATGCCATTGAACTGTTCTTGGGTAGACTCAAGGGAGCTCAAATACAGAAGCTACATTTCCCACCTGCGACTACAGTGTAGACATGCAGCTTCATTGTCTTCGTGTCCTTGTGCGATAGTTATTCTACATTTCCCTGGCCACTTGGTTCCCCACATAGTAGGACAAATGTGTCAGAAATAGTTTGGTATGTATTCCTGTGACAAGATATTAAAATAACTTCTTTTGTATATGCTCAAAAAGCAACTTGGACGCAGATCCTGCAAAGGTTTACACAATGTATACACTGCAGCTTTCTTCTCTGGGTGCAGGATGCTTGTGCAGTAGGACAGGGGAACAGACTGACCTTAGCTGGATGTAGGGTTCTAGCTGATGCTGATGGGCAGAAGCGAGAAAGCTGAAGCCCTCATGGTAATTCTACACAAATGGGCAGCTGTTTAGTACAAATAACACCCAGCTACATACTGCACAGAGGTTGTAAAACCCAAGCACCCTTGACCCTACAAGAAGTTTCACCCACCAGCAAACCACATGTGGTGAGTGCATTATAGCTGTAACCTCAATCCTTCTAATTCCCCTGCTTAATCTTTTTTTTCCAGCATGTGAAGGAGCATGGACTGGCATATGAGAAAGCATATGTTTGGGTAAACATTTCAGTAGTCTGTAAAGAGCTATGTGTTATCCATGGATAATGTTCGTTTCTCCACATCCCCCACATGGCTGGTAAGGAGATTTGCTCTGGAGCGAGTATGGACAAAACAGGTTGTGCAGTCTGTCAAAACAGATCTGGCACCCCGCGCTTTCCTTTCTAAGGCTGATCATTCACCATTTTTCTCCTGTTCTATCAATGAGACTGTTAGCTCTAATCTGTCTATAGAGTCTGAATGAAAAACAGTCAGCCTACATATTCTCCTTGCATGGTTACAGTTGCTTATTCACTGTAATCAACTGGTCCCATGGTATTAGTCTTTTCTCTAAGGGGATGAGCGGAACATTTTCTCATGAGAAAACAAATACACATTAAATAACTAACACCATGCGAAGACTAACAACTTGCAAAGAACCAAATTCACCCCCTCAAGGATGACTATATATATATAAAATTCAAGTTCAAGTCTGCATGAAACATGCACTTCTTGGTCCTTCAGCCCAGCTAAATAGGTGCCCCTAATCCTTCTGAGACCTTGAGAGTGCAGGCCTTCAAGTGTAATCTGGTCCTCAAAGTTAGAGACTCCTGGGTCTAGTCTCTTGGCTGGGCTGATGCTCCTGCATCCTCCTAAAGAAGCCCCAGTGCTCGTGCATCTACCTGGCCGTCTTCACCTGAGGAGTTACATGTTATTCGAGTATTTGTGCTTAATTTCTGCATGACTGCATGAAGAGTTGTGAGTAGTATTTGTTCAAGACTGTTTTCCTGACAGACTCTTAACTCAAGCATGGAAATAACAGGACCTCTAAAGAGTTTTTCTGAAACACTATTGCTTTTAAAAAAACATATTTATGTGTTTGAAATTATTACATGCTTCTACATGAAATTTTCTACATTTTTAAACTGAGATATCAGATTTTGCTCTTTTTTATCACTTTGCTAGAGCAACAGAAATTTCTGCACTAGGCTCAGACTCATTTGAAATTATTCCCAGATGCCCAAGAAAGCATCCTATGGCTTGGGATCGCTTCAGTTCAACGATGTCTCATCCCTTTTCTATAGCATCCTTAATAGGACCTTTATGCTGTGGTTCAACAATGCTTGGCAAATTCCCTCGAAGTCAATTAAATCAAGAAAGTTTTGTGTTTCTATTAGGATAGTAGAACAGGCAACCGTGAAAAACGTTAACAACTTGGGCAGGTTTTTTGTTAGCTCTGTTGCATCTTCCATACAAAAAACTCCCATTCCTGTTCTAACAGAGAGCAGAACATGGCCCAAAACAACACAGGATAGACCTCACACATCTACATTTCCTATTAAGCAGCTCTAAGAATCCAGAAGTTTTCCTTGGAGGCACCATATAAAAGTTGATGATAAGAGACCAGCTAAGGTGTTATGCATGATGTGAAAGGGATGAATTTCCCTGGAATGCCCCAATGGCTTTTTTTGAGTCTAATGACTGTACCTGTTAAGTTTGTTTCTGGTTACCACACCATTTTTTGGTTTTAGAATAAACTGCAGATGTTTAGGAAAGAATAGGTTGCATTTAAAAATGGGTGACAAAATGTAATAAAATGTTTTCCTTACCATCTGTTTTCTTTGATTCATCCCCCACACTGGACTGATCTTTTTTGTCCAACTTACTGTCTTCCTTTAATTCACCTAGAAAGAAGCAATAAGAAACACTATAAGCATTTTAATGCAGACTGCAGTTTATTAATACCTGTAACTCATACTGCAACATCCAAAGGAGAGGCTCCTTAGGAGAAAAGGTCTGAATTCACAAGGAACTGGATTAACATATTTTCACAGAATAAAGCACCAGATAAAATTTATTGTATAGAAAATGAAGCTTTGCAATCTACTTTTAAATTCATTCTAATTATTAACACCTTAAGTGCACATGCAAACTCATACTCCCTCTGGTTGTATGTAGGCCTTTAAAAACCTGAGCATAACCTTCATTTTAAAATCAGGACTCTGGAACATTTATGGTTTTAAAGGACTAAAGACCCTGCAAAACTTCCTCATTAGTCTCTGCATTGGAGAACCACCTTACATCTCCCAGACAGTCCTACATAATTTTGCCTTACTTTCTCTAAGCAGTTTCCTTTATCCACAGACTCATTTGGGTTGGTCCTTTGATGCCAGTACCAGGGAACAATCATCCCAGTATTGATGACTGGCATTACAGTCTCTATAGCAAACCAGGCAAGTAAAGACTTTGGCAGAGTAATGTTTGATGCAGAATGAAAACGGCAACCTGAGCTGTGGTGTATTTTATGAAGCCAGGATGGTTAACCAGAGTCATTCCAATCTTCTGTCCTCTGTAAGTCACACAGCAGAGCCCATCAGACCTCCCCACACCATCCCTTCATTGAACAAGAATGCTCAATGCACATCAAATGAAAGCTAACCTAAAAAGAGAGCTCCAGCAGAACAGGGCTCTTTCAGCTGCAGTGTCCAAGCAGCAGCAATGAAGGTATCCTTCCTTCAGATGTCCAGAGAAGCAACAGCAGCCTGTCCAGATGGGAGCAGGCAACTTGTCCTTCTCCAGTGGAGGAGTAGCAGTGAATGTGTGATCCACAACTCGATACAAAAAGTCTCACTTCTGAATTTTGTAACTGTGAGGTATGTTACAGCGCTGTATTAAAGTGATGTTTATTCCATTTCTGTTATTAGTTTTCTTACTACAACTAGTTCCCAGCCTTTGGATCCAGATTATACGTATTATGCGTTAAAGAGGAGCTGATCTGCTTCTAAAATAGTCATGGCCAGTGGATATATTTTTAACAGCTCAAAAAAAAGGAGTAATTGTAGAGAAGTAAGGTCTCCCTCTTCCACACTGGGTCCTAACCACTGGAATATTTGTTATTCTTGGATGACAGAGGATCAATGTCTCTCTCCAATTAAGCTTCATCATAGTATGAAAGAGGAATGGTTTTCAAATCTTAAAATATCTAAGAAGATGGAATAAACATATCCTGTTCAGTTCTCTTTCAGTGCCAAAACTTCTCACGCTTTTCTTCCCAAGCTCAGTGAGAGGAAAATGAAAGCATGATACAGGACAAGCACTGACTTCTCAGCTGATCACAAAGCCACTGACTTGGGCTCCTTGAACAGAGAGGTATGAGCAGCTCCAAGCAGGGCTGAGGTGTGTGCTTGATGAAGGTGGCCTCTAAAAGAAGGACACTGTCTTCAGGAAATGAAATGAAAATGTATCTAGCAAAGTACAAGTCTTCCTGCGTTTCCTTCACCATCATACAGCTGACAGTAACGATGAGCTATTAATGCTCTTTTTCACCATTGCACAAAGAAGTTGCTTGACCCTAAGTGTGTGCAGGAAAAGATGATGAGCATCCACACACACATTATTTAACAGTTTGATCTCTTGGAGAAAGCACACAGGCAGCAAGTGACTGAAAGAGACTTTAAACTCACCCAACAACACCACAGTTTCTGAACTTTCATTGAATATAACTTATTATGAATACAGGGCTTTTGAGTATTGTAATATCCACCTTGCCATAATGCCAGCAGCAGAGCAGAACCATGATCATAATGATCTTTTTGAAAGGAATTACAAAGGCAGAGAAATAACAAGGCAAATACTTTATGATGAGATATTAACATATAGGCGTAAAGGGAGCTGTGGTGAACCCAGAGATATTAATGTGAGGATTTCATCAGTCTCCAAAGACTCTGCAGTGATTGTACCTCATAAAGGCCTTTTCCCATAAATTAAGGAGCAGAATTTCTTTTCCTGAGGATGACACTAATTTTCAGAAATCATTGTAATTCTTTTCAAAGCATTTCTGACACCTGCAGCAGAGAGACACTGCAGAAAAAGGTACTGTCAAAATCACTAGAGCAAACTTTAATAACGCCGTATTGTTAGAAACATGTAAAATAAAATATTTCAGAAGAAAAGTCTGATGGAGTCTAGATGGGATTTCAGATGTCCTCAACCTTTTTGCCTCTTGACCAGCAGCCAAGTGAAATACATGAGAATCACATCAGGAGTATTTTAAACTGAATTTCTGCCTCTGCTGCCATCAAAACTCACTGTCTGACTTTCAAAGCCTGTATGTGCAACTCAGGCTTTTCTTCAGAGGATGCTTCCATGTCTGACTTTGTGCTGGTTTCGGGCTGACTGATGATAGCCAAGTTTGTGACAGGTCTCATGCACTGCCATTTTTTGATAACGGCTTCAAGGAGCAGGAGCTGGAGAGTTAAGGACAGTGAAATGGCCTAGAGACAACTCATCTGTTCTAATGAGGGGGCAAGGGTTAATGTTTACTGCAATTTTCAAACATATTTCCTACCTTTTCTGGGTGCAAAATGTGATTCTTATTTTAACTCAGCTCTATAGCAAGTTAAACCCCTGGAATCAAACTTCTGACCAAACAAAAGGCTTCTGACTGCCCTAATAAAAAAAAATGATCAAAGGAAGAGTAAATAAAATAACAAAAACAGAGAGAGAAAATCCTCTGTCCCAAGCCACATTTATATCTGAGGCTCAATTACCTTTAAGACCTTTACTAAAAATACCTTTAATTTGCCTTAAGAAAAGTTTATAAGCCACCTTTGGCTTGTCCTCTGTCAGTTACCCAAGCACTGAAGGTGTTCACTGAACCAAGAACGTTTGTTTCAGCTTTTCAGCCTGTGCACAACAGCCTGCTTCATTTCCACAATAAAAGTCATGTTTTCCTTCCCTCCAAAACTGCCCAAGCAGGCATGATCTATCCCATCTTCAATTGGAAGAACACTACTTGGGAGTTAAATGATAGCTTCTGGTTCCCATATGCAGGTGACTATGCCAGTGGTCCAGGTTCCCCATCACTGAGGTGAGATACTGGTTTTAGGGCTGGATTTACATTCCAACGGAAGAAGAAAACTCACCATTATGGACATGCTCTTTCTCATCTCCCACTGCATGATGAGAGTCCATTCCCTTATCTGTCCTAGGTGCATTTTTCTCTTGAGAGGCTTCGTGTTTGTTCACCCCAGTTTGCCGAGTCCCATTTGCATGATTCTTGTTGGAATCTGTGCTTTTGTTTTCCCCCGGATTTGGTTCTTTGCTGTTCTCTGTCTTTGCTGCTGTGGTATCTTCAGCTGGCTTCTTCTCATCTTTTTCATCTGTTTTCTTTTCATCTGTTCCCTGATGAGCATTTTCCTCTGCTTCTTTCTTAGCTTTTTCTTCTGCATCCTCAGCAAAGAGAGAAGCAAAACAAGGAAAGAAATCACGATTATCAGTCAATTTGACAAGAGTGATACAACTCACACATCTAAATCTTCTTCAGTTGTTTACATGCAAACAGCTTTTACTTAAATGTAGGAATTGACATGACACAGGAGAAAGACCACAGAATAACATTTAAGAAAGTATCCTGAATAAACCCAACCCATGTTGGCCTATAACGTATATTATTTGCATGTCTTTTTTACACCATGGAAGGTTCACCTTTGAAAATACAGTACCTCAAAATTCTTAGAAGGCAAACTAAAAAGAGACATTAGCTATTGAAGGTTCTAAGGGTGAAAAGGTTAGTTTTATTTTTGACACACAACAATAATTCAAATTACATTGATTTTATCTTGTACCATACCACGTAACCCTATGCACATAGAAAAACTTGGTTCTTTGATACATGCCTTTTCCCCCTCTCATTCCAGGTTGCTTCCTAATCTCTTCCCTTCTAATTACTGTTATCCTTATGGCTCTGTCCTTTCTTGGTAGACTCATATACTGCTGCTAGTACTTGCCCTTCCATCCCCAAAATCTTACAGTCAATCACAAATACACAAAAGTGTAAATTCAGAAGTGAGTGTTGGGCAACTGAAGCATCTCAAAATACTGTCATTCAGAAGAAAATCAAATCACAGAGAAGCCAATTTCCCCCTTTTAAGATACTGCTGTTGTTATACAAATCCTAGGTACTGACGCAACACTTATAACAGAGTTTGCAAATTACTGCAGCTCCAGGTGTTGAGACCACTGTTTCTAGCCGAGGCTGGGTACAGAAAACTCCCCAGACTCAGCCGCAAAGGTTCTGTATGGCTTCCTGCATCTCATAGCAAAGCAGGACACAACCACAGTCCCTCAGCACAGCCCTCAAGCTATTAAACATGGCTGGGTGTGCAAAGACTCTGGGCAGAGACCCCATCATCTTCTTTCCCTTTTCCATGATCAACAGAGACTTCACCTGCAAAAGCAGCTGAGTAGCTCAGCACATGCTCAATTTGGAACCTGTGAGCTTAAGCAGCTTCAGAGCATCACATACATCCATACTGAGTCTAAGCATTCAGATGTGACCACCCTATGAATTGAAGGGTCTGTATTCAAGATCTCTGAGTTGGCAATATCCTAGCCCACTCATTACCCCATCGTGGGCAACCAATTGCACTTTGATTGTGATAAGGATGACAGATGTAGGTCAGGTTGGACAAAGTCTTGGGTGACATGGTCTAGTGTTGGGTGCCCCTGCCCATGACAGGGGGTTGGAACTGAATGATCTTAAGGTCCTTTCCAACCCTAACTATTCTATGATTCTATGTATGTTCTGAGCAATGTGATCTAGTTGAAGATATCCCTTCTCATTGAGGGGGGTTGGATTGGATGACCTCTGAAGATCCCTTCCAACCCAAAGCATTCTATCTATCTATCTATCTATCTATCTATCTATCTATCTATCTCCTGTTTTCTGAGAGATTCTGATGAGCAGAGAAACAGATCCCACAAAACACTGAATAAAGTGTTGGTCCTATGGAAGTATTCTTGATGTCTATAGAGATGTTTCACTCATTACAGAGCAGTGTCTTGGCCAGGGAGTACAACTTACAAAATAATTTCTCAGGAGCAGGGTTTTGGCCAGGGAGTAAAAATTACAAAATAATTTTTAAGTGTCTTGTCAAATAGTTCTTTTGAGTGAATCAGAACTAGTTTTGAGGAAAATATAACAACAGGATACCAGAGAGAAAGGGGGAAATCTGTCTTTGATAAGAAATGCCAATCTGTATTTCCTTGCCAGCAGCCAACTAAAATTAATTAATTTTTAAATTAATGAATTCTGGCTCACATGAAAATATTATCAAATTAGATATGAGCCTCCCTCACTTTATTAATAATTCCTGAGATCTACAGTAGCTTCCATTGATGGCTCAGCAATGCACATTTATGTTTTCCCTGGAGTCTCACGGTATACAGAAGGATACTTCTCATTTGGAGATCTGAAAAGTAAAAATGCTGCATTTTGCATCTGAACAAGACAGAAATTCAGCTCAGGACACTGGGGGTTACTACAGCACCACTGGATGAGTGCCTCTTGTCAAAATCAGTGTCACAAAATACATCTAAATAGTGCTTTGCGCAGCAGGGGGTTTGTTTATTCAGCTTTTTCATCTGTGAGTATTAGATGATTACCCTTTAAGCAAAAAGAGATCAGGAATAAACCCCACTTACTTTGCCCACACAGTCCTAGAAGTTTTCTATAAATACCACACCCAGGATAAAAACAGCTCAGTGATGCTCCCAGGGACTACACCATTACCAAAAGGAACAGAGTATTCTACAAAGAAATTATTACTATTATTGTATTCAATAGTAATTAATAAAAGTCACAATAATAATAATAATGGTTTCCTTCCCTCCTGGTCACCAGTTGCTATCTGTTGTCAATCAACTAGTTAAATGCTGTATCTGTCTTCGCTTAATAATTCTTAGTTTTATTGTCAGAGCATCTTTGATGCATTGCAAGCCGCTGGTTTGACAGGGTTAGCAATTTTAACTCCTGCTGTGTGGCAGGCCCTGCTGCATATGGCAAAGACAGGCAAGGCAGATGGAGGGAGGGCAGAGACTTGCTGCAAGTCAGGAGCAAGAGAGCAGCAGAGCAAAGGTTTTGATGCAAGGGGTTTGGGATCCCAGTTCCTTAGTCATGTCCCAGTCCTCAGCCACTCTCTCTGAGCCAGACATTTGTATAAACCTTTTAAGATTAGAAAAATATGCATGGCTGTACTGCTAAATGCACCCAGAAACACAGACATTCTGTGAAAGTCAATGAATGCAGATGAACAGAAGCTGAGACTGCTTTCTGAATCTCTGATCCATAAACTGAGGCCCTGATCCAAGTTACTGGTGATGAAGTTTGGCAAAAAACATAAAGTAAATCGACTTTTCAGGGCTGAAGGTTGTCAGAAAGGTAAAGATAAAATGACCTACTCAAGAGCTCCCATGTCTAATAATGCAGACTGTTGAGCTCTCTGCTTTCAAGTGACCAGCTAACTCTTACACAGACCACCCCCTGGAGCTGCTAGAAGGATTTTTTTATGAGGCAATTAAAAACAAAACATTCTCCTCTCCAGCTGAAGTATTAATAACCAAACACTTATTGTTAGGATACCCCATAAAGAATGGGTATGAAATACTGCACCCAGATATACTACCAGTGCCAGCATCAGTTTAGCAATGTGTGCACATCCACTTGAGTCATAACTTGACATTTACATGTGCACATTTAGGAAAAAGTCTTTATGCAAAGCAGCCGCTGCAAGTGGGCACAAAGCACATTTAAAAATTAAATATCCAGAATCTATTCTGAGCTAATCTATATATTTGTTTTAAATGAAAAGTTAGATAGATTTTATTTCTTTCCCCATAAGTGTCTGTTGCATGTAAGTTTTTTATCTAGCAGAGCCTTAGACAGGCAATTATATATGGTACATGTTGAAATTAAATCCTTAAAACTAGTCAACTGGATTGCCTTCATCTGCTCAACACCCCTATTCTGTAAGACACTGCCCATGTTAAATGCTTTTCTTGTTTGGTTAGCTTTAATTTGGTTGCTCCACAAAGAACTGGGAAATAGTAAATGCCAATTGAAAAAAAAAAAAGACCACACAAAAAGCTACAAAAAAGCCCCTGGCAAAAGAAAAGCAAATTTTGAATTATGTTTTTGTTTTCATTTTCATAGAATGCCCAGAAAGGCTTTTCCCGAATGGCAAATTTAAATCACAAAGGAGAATTTAATTTGAATAATAATGTGTGCTTTCATGCACCTTTAGACAGGCCTTTCAGTGGGAGAGGAACAATCTTCTCCGGCAAATAGGAGAGTGATGGCAAATCTTTCACCAGTCCTCAAGCCAAGGACACGTAATACATTAAAATCGAGCTACTTCCATTTACATGAAATAAAACAACTCCATTAAATACAGGTTTGAGCAATAAACATTCAGCTGGGAGAAGAAACTGTATCACCAACAATTCCATGGAGAAAAAAACCACAATCAGTGACACATTCCTCCTTTTTTGTTCCAAAGCTGATCTAAATCACCTGAGCGCTCTAGGAGACCGTGGGCAAACATCCAGCCCCTGGAGGCAATGGCCAGTTGTACATAAGTTCTCAACAGATGGCTCTCACTGATTCCAAAAGATCTCTGACAATAGAGATTTGCCAGTGTCTAACTTACTATCAGGTTGTGATTACCTGCCAATTTTTTCTCCTCGTAACAGCCATAGGTGCTTGAATAAAACCAAACCATAACTCCTTATTCTGCAGCTGCAGTAGTCTTCAGAAAACTGCTTTGAGCTACCAGCAACAGTTACTGTTTGCATTGCTGTACTCTGCAGTGGTGTGCAACTGGGCCATGTGTTTCCTGAACTGCAGTGGCCAAAACTGCACGCAATACTGCTGTGGGGACCTTGTTACTGCTGGTAAGGCAGGAAGGATGCCAAAGGGTCTTAGAAGCAAGATCTGGTGATTTATGTTGTGTTGTTTTAGGGCTTTCTTCTCTGTTCGGGTTTTTTTCCAATTACATGACAATACTGAACCCTGATCAACCTGCAACCAACACAGCCCTCATGCTCTTCTGAAATATTTGGAATCCCTCCCAGGTTAATGATATCATGAGTATTTGCTGCATAGTTCCCAAGTCGTTATTCAAGTTATCACTAGCAATAGGAAACCAGCTATGAATTCACAATATCCTGTCCTTCCCTGAAAGATTATCCATAGCTCCTTCAATCTTAACAGTGATCGACTGATAACCTATCTCTACAAATGCAGTTCCAGCTATTTTTGCACCCACCCCAGTCTGACTCATGACTTCAGGGGACCTCCCTTACAATTGTTTTTTTTCCCTTCCCATTGTCCACATCCTCTTCATGAAGTACACTTAACACCACCTCAGAAGAGTACAAGGCACAGATGAGTCACAGTATCCCTATCTTACTGAGCTCACTGTATGTTGCTGACCTTGAAAAGCAGATTCTTTCAAACTAACAGTGCTTACTTGGAGAATAATTTGATTGAAGAAGAGCTTGAAGAGGTCAAAAGAATTGTTACTCTTTCCCTAAGAAGCCTGGCTGTTACCTTTGGTGGCTTGCGCTTTCCATTTCTCCCGGTTCTGCTGCACCACCTCAGTCCAGGTGGCTTTAAAACATTTGAAATCCACAGTGAGTATGGAGCAGTTGAGTGAGGCACTTCCTTCGGACCCAGTGCTCTTGACACTTGATCTTTTAACTTCAGAGGGATTAATGCTATTCAGACTGGGACACAAGATCACAAAACACAGAAGAAATCAGTATCCCATTCACCCAAACATAGCTAAGAAGAAATGATGACTGTAAGTCTAAACTTAATAGAGTCAACCAGTAAAACAAAAACTAAGCTCGAACCTCTCTTTCTTCCATCCCAGGTCTGATATCAAAGAAAACAGTACAACCTGAGCCAGTACTAGAAATAAAGGGCAGCTTTTCCCCACTTAGTTTTTGGTATCCATAGTCCCTAAGACACAGAATCACCCAAAGTGTTGCCATTACCTTCATTGTGCATCTTCACTCCCTACATACTCTTTGGAGAGTCACAGTTCTAGAAATCAAGTATGCCAACGGAAGAGGCTCCAAAAATTCACCCGTGAGAGCCATTAGGCACAGGACAGGAGGCAAACCTCTGTCCAGGTCTTGATGAGCTCAGCTGAGGCTGAAACCAGGTGCTCATTTTGGTTACAGACCCTACAGTTGTCTTTCAAGGATGGACACTTCTTTGTGCACACTTTTATAAAGGCAGCAAGGTAACTGACATAGAAAGATATTAGTGCTTGCTCTTCATGCAACAGCCCAAGAGTAAAGAAGTCACCTGAGAGAGAGAGTCTTGACTTGGTTGCCCTACTCTAGGGAGCACTAGCCATGTGGTGTTTGAATTCCAAGACTTACCTTGTCCATGAAACAACTAAAAGAGCAGTTTCTCTGCAACAGCAGAGCAGGTTAAATTGGCCAAGACTCTTTACACCCAAACTCTATGTGAATCTGATGGTACTTCACACATACCCATAGTGTAACCCTATCTACTGTCACTAGGATGTGCTGATACTTCCCAGACCCATTCTGTATTTAAATGGGATTGATCCCATTTACGCTTCCGGACATGAAGAACTGTGCGTTTCCCTTCTACCTTTTTTGGACATTAGTGATTGAGAGCACTAAAGTTCACCTGACTGCACGGCTAAAACCATTTGTGCTCACTGCCTTCAGAAGCATGGCTCAGGTTTATGCCAACCTCCCTCTTTGCCCTCCCCCGGGCTGGAGTTTCCCTGCAACAAAGTCATGTCACAAGGTGAGCTGTGGTGTCAGCAATGCAGATATGGGGCTTTAAGCCATGTGGAAGATATACGCTGTGGGAAGGAAACTGGGGGAGCTGGCACAATGGCAGCATGTGCAGAGGGAAGGGAGAGGGCTGTGTTATTCACCTGGAACGCCTGAACCCGGACATGCCAGAACGGGAAGCTTCGTCAATGAGCGGAGTCACAATCTTCTCAGTCATGTCAGTCAGCACAGTAAAAGTGGGTTCCACGATGAAATCTATGAAACCTGAGCAGAAACACAAGCAGAGTCAAGCAGGCAAGAGGAGGATTTATGTGGAGTCACTGCTTCAGCGATCGCAGACAGCCACACTGTAAAAGACAGAGTAAAGAAAATTATACCTTGAAAGAGGGATAGGCAAATACTAGAAAAGGAAAACAGAGTTACAGATTGATCCCTGACCCAACAGCATGGATATAGCACACAATAAAAGGTACCTACTTAAACACTGGACAGAAGCTGTGGCAAATCAGAACATAAACAGATGCAGCAGAGCTTGTTTTATACAAGAAGTGTGATGTTTAAGCCAAATTCCAAGCGGATTTGGCTAAAACCCAGTTTCAAAAATGAAGTCTCTAAAAGCAGAAAATACAACAGCAATAATACTGCTAAGCTTTGCTGGTGTGGAGTTACATGCAAAACTCCCTTACTGCAGATCAGTGGGTTGCTGTGAATATTCTCTCCTCAGTGTTCAACCAGCTTGTTCTTGTTGATAACAAAACAGATTTAGATGCTTCCCCCTGCATTTTTTTAGCATAAAATAATATCTACTTCAGTATCCAGTTTGGCAGAGATGAATACGGCTCCAATCTGAATGTCAGGATGGGCAGACTGAAGGGCCCTGTGGCCATAAACTCACAGGATGAGGGAAAAATCCAATCTGCATGATAAAAGTGAGGGAGTGAGGAGCTTAGAATACTTTACACCTTCCCCTAAATTCTCATGGGGGACAATGACTATTTCTGGTGCTGATTTTAACGCTTCACTTAGCAATTTTCTTGGTGATACAGGCAGCCAAGAAAACAATAATGTCTTCAATGCCTCCTAAGGCACATCAGGATGCAGGTTTTCCCTACTATTACAGTTTTTAAAGATTTGTAATTATCAACTATTGATTCTACATTCATAATACTATCATTTCTGTGACTGGGTCATGGTATGTTTTGACAACAGACCCTGGCAATTCTAGGTGGCAACAACAAAAGAAGAGACCACATGGGCCATGCACCTGAATTCACAGCAGCTTTGATCCACACCTGGAGTACAGTCAGTTGAGCACCCTTCTAGCTCCATTTCCCTTCCCTGATTTTGTCTAGATTTCTAAAAAGATAGGCAATTAAGTGCATTTTCATGCCCAGCCAAATGAAAAACATCACTTGCAAGTTCTTAGGATTTCACACTAACATTCTGTAAATGTGGAGAAAATATGCATTCGGTCTTATTTGAACATCTGAATCATGTGCCTCCATAACACTGAGACAGTCTTATCTATTCAAATTTAGGGAACAGGGAATTAATCAGGAAGGTATGTAATATAAAGCCACAAGAGGAAATCGTGTGCCAGATCACAAGCAGATAACCCCAGCAAACTTCATACCATTTTTTTAAAGCTTTGGAAATTGTAATGGCTGACAACAGTGCTCCACAAGGATCTGGAGGATGAGAACCAGATTTATGTATACGTGTGTCTGTTTCTGTGTCTATTCTATTCCCCTTCACTCAGAAAAAAATTGCCTCTTAATGACCAAAGAAACCCAAACCATGGTACCCTGTCACTTCTGCTTGCCAAGTAAATACCACTGCCATTTGCTCCATCACCACAAACACAAATCCCTGCTATCAGATGCATGACTGTGTCACTAACTGCAGCATCAAGGTGGTGGGATCTGCTTCCTGAGATACTCCACATTTGCACATAAACAAAAGGTCCAGTTGTAAGTGTCTGAGAAACAAGTTTTGCTGGGAGAAGTCTTGCATCTTATCAACAGACAGGGAGAGGTGGCACAAGGCATCACAGGTAAACAAACTCTAACACTTAGGAGAACTTTTCTTGAGTAAGTGGTATTTTTATCTCTATTCCCTACAAAACAGATAAGTTATTCCATATGCTACCTTAAAATAGGGATTATAATACTGCTGGGAAACATAATCTGCTGTCTTAGAAACAAAGCTTAGGCCTTTATTAATAATGATGCAATTTATGCCATATTCTCAGATGGCTTCCCGCCACCCCTGTGTTCTCTCTCTTCGTACCTAAAGACACTGTAATTTAAATATGGTAATTTAGTTTGCTAAGTAAAACCCCTGAATATCAAATAATGAACCTGGAGTTTAAAACCTATTAAGGCTAATGACCATTTTATCATCCTTCTTCTTCTTCAGCAAAATGAGCATGGTAAGTATTTCTGTGCCCCAATGGCTAAGATGATTTTACCTGCATGCAGAGGTGGTTTCCAGGCACATGCCTAACGTTCATTCATTCCACATCAGAATGTCACCATAGCAAACACAGGCTAAAGGACAGTCACCCTAAAGACCACCACCCAAAAAAAGAAAAAGAATCATCAGCATGCACTCATCAGCCTTTATCCAATACTTTCTGAAGCTGCAATTTTCTTTCTTGCCAGCCAAAGGACAAAAATAAACGGATGCTGCTACATTCATCTGCAAAAGACAATGACAACAAAGGCTGATCTCCACTCAAACAAGCTTCCTACAGCCTGAGGCAGACACAGAAGCTTTAACTCCTGATATTCTCGTGGAGAAATACAAGTCTTAGCCTGGTTTTCTTTACAGTTCATTTGTCTCTCTCATTTTGATAAGCAGCCCCACTTCTGGAAGTGAATGTCTCATGATTTCTGTATTTCACTGGGGTATGGAAATATTTACCACACTTACTCCACTGAAGAACAAAAAGGATGATAAATTGGTCATTAGCATTAACACTGTTAGGTTTGAAACCCCAGGTTCATTATTTGATATTCAGGTTTTTGAATTATCAGTTCAAACTCTGAACAAGTTCTTCACAGACTGAAGCAACCGGGCAAAGAGGCATTCTTTCTTTAGAGGAAGCTAGTCTCATTTGTGACAATCTTTTGGTAATGAACATGCTTACCCATTGTCACTTGCAGTGACCTTAGAGCAGCAAACTAGCAGCTACAAACAAGCCAAGCTACCAGAACAGGATTTCTGGGCTCTGTCCCAGACAAAATCAAAAGCCCAACTTTATTGTGCAAAGGCCAGAGGGGTTTTTACCTGCGGGAACTGATGGTTGCTTGTTGCAGATAACAGCACAATTTGGGATTCAATAAGAACTTAGTTTTGTGAACAAATGTAGTAACTACTATTCCAGGGAACAATTAGTTGAGGCTATTAATAAAGTAAATAAATGAATGGGAACAGATTATTTGCTTGAGAATCTAGCCTTCAAAGTTGAAAGCCTTACCTCAGCAGATATCCAGAAAATGTAAGAGGTTTTGCTTTAACAAAGGAGACATTACAGAAAGACACTGTCTATGTGCATCAGACTGAGAAATGAACATTTCTAATGTTATAAGGCAGGATTTATAGAGGGTAGCATATTCATGTCAACGGACTACTAAACTGCACAAATCAAATATAATGACAAATAGTATATGACTAAGTAAGGCTGCCTTTGAGCGCTGACAAGTGCTTCTTTTATAAGGTTGAATTGTGTTGGTGATGGTTTAAATCATCATTAATTTTGCAGTGGCTGGACACTGGGGCCTCAGTGCAGAAGTTTCTTGGCTTTCCTGCCCTTCCTGAACAAAGAGACGCAGAAGAAGAGGACATGGAAAACTAGTTTCCAAGCATACACAACCCTATGCAGAGATACACAACTCCTCTTCCCTGTTAGGACAGAGAGACGTATCTGAAAGCTAACAGAAGGGATGTGAAAGAGAAGTCTCTGCATGAGCTTCCCTCCACACCAGCCAGAAAGAGAGTTTACCTTCTCCCACAGCACAGCAGTACTTGTAGTGTGCCCAGGAGTCCTCAACACGGATTTTAGCTGAGACTGCAACACTTCAAGTTTGCTGCTGCTTCCCTCCACTGAGCTGCTGGCAGAACACACGGTTGCACTGCGCTCTGCGCACATTCCCACTCTTCTAGGTTACCTTTGCAGAGCAGGAAATGCTGCATGTCTGGCAACCAGGCAAAGGGCTTTTCAAGTGCAGATTTTTGGCTGAACTGTCTGAACTTCCAAAGCCAGAAAAATCTGGGATGGGGTCCCTCAGAGAATGGCTTGTCTAACAAGAACAGTGAACAGAAACAGGCACACATACAAATCTGAACTTCCCTAGGTTCAGGGATATCTTTGTCTTGCTCTTTGTGAGAAATTTCATACTTTGAATTTTTTGTTTGTTTTCCTTTACTATATTCTTTCTTTTTCTGCTTCTGGTCTCAGTATTTTAAGGTCTGTTTTATCTTTCTTTTGTTATCCTGTTTGGCTCCCTATACTCCAGTTGAAGTTAGATCACATTCTTCTGTCTACTTCACTTGTTTCCTAGGTATAAAAATCCATCCACAAATCCACCTTTTCCATTGTAGTTTTTCTTCACTCCCTGCTCCTCTGAACAGTTTTACCCCACTTGGCCCCTCTTGTTTTCTCACCAGATAGCAGTCCTGTTGCCCCATCCTACTTTTTCACTCAGTAACTGGAGGAGAGGTAGAGAAAGTGCTGTTGGTGAGTGTGCAAAAAGATCTGTGTTTCTGAACGGGTGGAGTTAGAAAAGGTTTGCTCATTGCTTGGCTTCAATGAAAAATACTGGTTGGGCTGAAGCATGGGGAGGGAAAGTGCAGGAGGAGTTAATGGTAAAACACACACTAGGTTTTGCACAGGTCATTGAAGGGACTGACATTACATTTCCATATCCACCAATGATACTCAAATCACAACATCTGCACCTCATCTTTGCAGCTCAGAAAATCATAGAGCAATGTCATAACCAGGCGCTGTAACCATCTCTGCAGACACATCAGAGGTAACTTGCTTACTGCATGGAACCACCACCATAAATTTAATGGCTCCTCAGCTTTGAATTGTTGATCTGGGGAAAATAATGCCACAATACTTTATTTCCTCTCTTTAAGTTTCAAATGATGAGAGATCCCCATGAACTCAGCCCTACAGGAAATTTTGCTTTTAAGATGTTACTTTGCATGCACCAAAAGGGACATACCTATTTGAGACTGAGCAACCATAGTAGACTTGCGATCGCACAGTGGAGAGAAGGGAAGCCCTAGTTCTGCTTCTTTGTCACCCTGAAGAAACAAAATGGATAAGAAATGAGAAAAAGAGACAAAGACGAGACACACTGCATGCTGATATCTTAGGTCATGACAATATAATTTCACTTTCTTTAATTCATTTTTGATTTTGCTTTGATTTTGTTTTGCTTTTATGTTTAACACAAATTGTGAAGAATTTGGCTATGGCTTGAAAAGTTTATGAATTAAGCATCTTGATTCCTGTGAATCTTTCCTCAGAGCTTTCCCTGCCTGCTTGGTACTTCCATGCACCAACTAAAAATCTACTTGAGCACAAGAATGCTTCTCACCACAGACCTCCAGATAACCCAGCAGAACTCAGTTCTCAGAACAAATCTTTCAAGAGAAAACACCAGTGTCAGGACAGATTTTTCAGGGCTTGCACTTCTTTGCATGCCTTTTCTAGCCTTTCATATAAGAATTCACAGGTCATGGCTGGCCAGATGCAGATTACTGTGTTCTCCCAAAGGAAACACTGACATTTCTCTATGACAGAGTAACCTGCTTGGTTGATGTGGGTGGAGGGGTGGATATTTTCTATCTGGATTTCTCCAAGGCTTTTGATATGGTTTCTCACAGAAACCTCCTAATGATGCCTAATGATCTTAACAAGTGGTCTGTGCATCGGGTGGGGAACTCTCTGCCTGGTGGCAAATAGCTCGTTTTCAAACAGGCAACCCCTCACAAGTGGGGTCCCCAGGATCAATATTGGGCCCAACACTTCATAAGTGTTCTTAATAAGTGATCTGGAAGATGGGATGAAGTGTGCCCTGATGAAGTTTGCCAACGACACCAAACTGAGTGAGGAAGTGGAGACTTTGGAAAAAAGAACCACCTGTAGGAAGACCTGGATTCCCCAAAACTGGACACTTCTAATATTCAGCTGGACAGGAGCTTGTCCAGACTGTGCTTTTGCCAAAAAAAGGTTGGAACAGATGACCCTTGAGGTCCCTTCCAACTTGGCACTCTATGATTCTGACATTGTCAACATTTTATGTACATTTTAGGTACAAAAGTCCAAACACACTTTCCAGCACTCAGAACTGAAAGTTTTTGATAAGATCACAAAATGGTCCAGAAGATCAAGTGCTATAAACCCATTTTTCCCAGCCTTTCAAGTGGCATATTCTCAAAAAGCCCTTTAACTTGGTTCAGTCGCTCTGTTACGATATTGCTTTATGTTGAGAAGATATATAGGATGACATAGTTGCAATACTCCCCACTGAGCATTCAATTTTAAATAGCTTGTTAAATATACTATAGAATCAATTCCTTAAATCAGCAGCTCACATTAACTGCACTGATCTTCTTGACAGTTTTCTGACTAATGTCAAATGCAAGCTAAACCAGCCAGCAAATCAACCAAAGAAAAACTTCTGTAGGCATAAGAAGAGCTGAATTCTTCTTTTGTTAATGTAAAAGATGGGAAATGGGGGCACAAGTGCTGTTAGAGTTTTGGGTGAAACAACAAGTAATAGTATTCTTCTATTGCAGAACAATTCTGCTTTATGTTAGGAGTCCGTTATACAAATACCAGTGTAAAACAGAACCAAGCCAGAAATATTTCCAAGTAATGTTCCTTTACTGTGTCTGCTACATCACTCAGGAAATCCATCTCTCAATACTTGGCTCTTACCTAATCATAATTCTTCTTTTAGTCCTTATATCTCTTATAAACTCCAGTGACTAATTCTCTTTAGAAAGGAACCCCTAACTGCCTTTATGACTGCTCAGAGCCACTTGGCTTCTTCTAATATGTCTGGGCATCTCCCTCACGGCTAGCTAAAGTGCATTAGTAAAACAAATTAATTCATGCAAGACATTTGTTTTAAGAGATGTTCACCATAGCTGCTGAATGTAAAAATAACAGTACTGTACTCAGAAGCACCACTCACACCTACTTGGTGTAGGAAGACCTGAGTCACATCACAAATACTTTGAAACCAATAGGGCTGTGGACCTGCACTGATACAGATTAAGTCAGGCCTTATGTCTCTGTAGAGCACATAACAGAAAGCACAGGAGAAGGTCTGCAGGTGAAGAGCAAAAGGAAATAAATACCTAATCTGAGGCTGGCTCAGTTCCTTATCACCATAGTCCCCTCTGGCTAGTGAACCTTCTCAGCTCGTGAGAAGAGTCTGTGTTGTTTTTCTGCTGTCAGAGAGGGATGTATTTATTGATCCAGCACTAAGTAACTGCAGTGAACACAAGTCTATGTTTCATGGTAAGCTTAAGGGTTTTCCCAAGGAGTGAATTAATATTGCATCTGAATTTGGAACTACAATACAAGTTTTATATAATGCTTTATCTCACAGTAGAAGCATTTGCTATTCAAAACAAAAAGTGGGATTTGTTGCCCGAAATGAAACTATTCTCATGAAGACTTATTTTTGTCTTCAATACATGTGTAAAACAGATAAAACTTGGGGGGTTTGTGGTCTCATATCTAGCTAATCCCTCACCAATCTTTAGGAGGCTCAGTTGTGGTGTATTTTAACACATCTAGCTTAATTTTGAACTGGAAAAACATAAATATGTACAGTTTTCCCAAAAGTATATGCAAAAATCACCCTTTTTGCATAAGGCTCCCATGTGGCAACAGAGACAACTGAAGGTATGATCTATCCTCTTCCAGCTAGTAAACCCATTCTTGGTTTGAAAAACAAAAGAAAATATTAATTTCAAAGCAAATGCTTGCAATTTCCTTATTAAGAAGGGATTCCCACAATCCCATTTAAAAAAAAAAAAAAGTTAGAACTTTATTTTAAAATTGTCATATTTTTCTTATGTTGCATTCAGATGAAGCTACTGAACTTTGGGGGGAAATTAAGCCCTTGGTTTTCTGCTTAGTTTAGTAATTCATAGTGCTGAAAAGTATCCTAAACACTAAGTGCTTTGTTTACTTTTAACTTTGATTTTTGTTAATAAGGCAGCTCTTTAAATGTTTTTAATTAGTCAGTTGGGGAGCTTATAGCTCTCACACAGAGCTTAATGGTTTGTCTAGATTTGTGTGTCTGTCAACAGGCAGTCGGTCCTCCATGAGCCATAAACTAGATCAGTTTACTCCACCTAAAGTAAGGGTAATGCAGTTTGTACATCTACCCCCACAATGTAAGTACAGTTGTATTAAGTACAGCTACCTAAATCTGTTTTCTTAGGTTCTACAGCTAAGTAGAGCATCACATATTCTATATTTTGCTGATCTGAAACACATCAGCTTTCTAAATTAGAACTTCTACTATGTAGAAACATCTTTATCTATAGACAATGTATGAGAAATAAACTTCCCAAGAGGCATAATAGTCAATTCTACTAGTGCCAGATAAGAAAGCTTCGTATCATTTAGGAGGTTCTTGCATAAACCAGAGAAAAAGGAAGAGATCTGTGCTCATATTTTCCTACTTCCCCACCCTGTCCTATACATTCCTTCTGTCCTGCAGAAATAGAGGGACTTTCTTAACTTTACCTGTCTGAAGAACTCCTCTAGTAGGGACATGGTCCAGCGATGATGGAGATCCCAGGCCTTGGCTGGATGACTGATATCTGCTGTATGCAGCAACAGCGATAAGGCTTTCGGCTTGTCAATTCTGAAAACCCAAAAGATCAAACAAATTAATTGTCTGCTCTTGCAGTGGAGAATGATGAAAATCTCACCTAAGCAGGGAAATGAGGTCATTAGAATCTTTGGCCATGATATTAATACAATGATTTCTGCATTCATAAAACCAGACAGCTATGAAAGATTGTCTCACTTCTCCAACATACACCACTCGTGTTGAGAAAGAAACATTAAGAAGTGCAAAAAGAAACTTTGCTGAGCGTGGCTGTGCTCCTTCCCAGGCTTGCTTGTCTGCACAAGCAGGGTTGAACAGCTGCTGTGCTCCCCATTTCAGCTGGGCTGCATTTTATACGGCTCAGAAGTTGGTCCCTACCACCTTACTATAGTAAACAGGATCCCACCTCAGGGACTCTGAAGAGTCTACACAGTAACTGATAAACATTCCACTGCTAGAAAACTGATGTGAGGTCAGAAGGGGATCCTTGCATCTGTTTCCAGAGAACAAAAGCCATAACCTAAGAGGCTAGCCCAGGATCCCAGTAAATAATGCTTTCTTGGGAGAGGCAGTCTTGCTTTTTTAATTCCAGCTTCTAACCGTATGAAACAGCTGGAAAAGTTGTAGCTTTTGAGAGGACCAAGTGGCCACAGTCTAGTATGATCTAATTCTGGAAGGCTCTGGACAGACCTGCATCCAGGGTGAAAAAATGACCATTGCTCAGAGCTTTTTGTCATATAAAACTAATTTTATTGGGAAGACCTTAGAGAAAATATTACAGCTTCCAGTGGCATATTGGGAAGAAGAACAGGCCTTCCCCATACTGCTCCATCTGTTATTTTCCAGTCTTTCCCTCAGTGAACCTCAAGTTGTTTTCATCTCTCGAGCAGGCCCCTTGCAGAGGTCACAGCTGATACCATCTGCAGAAGGCAATGCAAAAGTTGTGTTCTGCAGATCTTTTAACCTTGAGTCATACTCAAGCTGTTGAGGTCACTCAGCTGGATCATGTCCTTGATGCTACCCTGACAGGCAATGGAAAATGCATAGGGAGGCTTACCCGAACGTGGTGACCTTTGCAAGCTTTGGTCCACCAGCACAGAACAGAGATGTGTGTATAGGGGGATGCCAGGCCACTCTAAATGAATTCATTCAAAATTCAACAGCAGAAAGAGAATTGATGCAGACATCAAACAGAGTGAGGGCGTCTGGGGAGATGCTTCTGAAGTCAAACACAATGGCAAAGCACCAGCTGAAATGCAGCCCCTCACTGCACAGTGTTGTGAAGTGACTCACCCTTCTGGCTGCTGCAAAGCATTCTTCATGGCTTTGATTTGCTGGAAGTGACAGGACATATCGGTGGCCAACACCATCTCAATCACTAGAGCTCTGAATTCCCTTTTGGATGGCATCACAATGAGAGGAGCAAGGAAAGAGAAACACAAAAACATCAGACACACTCCAGTTCCTTTTGTTGTCTATCTGCAAATTATTGACTGTAGTTCTGCTTTGGTACGCTGCGTTTGCCATTAACCTTTTCAGGAATGAGGAAGAGGATGAATGATTATATACACAAACAAGGGAGTCAGAAGGCTGCAAATTAAGCCAGGTTAATTCTAGCTAAGAAAAATCCTAGATGTTTTTGAAGAGCATGTTCAAATTAGTACCCCCTTATTAATTAAGCACAAATTGATTTCTTTTATAGGGCATTCTTAGAAGGCAGTACAGAGACTGTTTATAGCCTCAGCATGAAGCAGGTGCACTTTTGAACCTGAATCTCTACCCACTTGACTAAAATTGGTCAATACCTAGTTCAAAGTTTACTCATATTATTAAAGGAAAAACATAATCTTAAATAAAAGTTCCTAGTACATATGATGCTTATATGCAGTCAAGATCTTTGAGAACCTGCATTACTCCCCTGATATTGTTCATTCAAAATATGAATTTTTGTTAAGCAAACTGAAAAATATCAGGACATTCTGATCTAGCACTCAATACAAATTTACTTTCTCTCAGCTCAGCTAGCCACAGATTAACAGAGGAAGAATACCTCAAGCTTAGCATCCTAGCTCAGGATACAGGAGATTCAGAAATGGGTCACCTTCCATCTAAAAATAAATGCTAGCATTCTTCTTTTCATGAATGTTTCATGAAGGACGTGGTCTATTTTGATCATGTCTGCCTTGCCTTTGGTGGCTGTGCTCAAGTTTCAGCGCCAAGCCACCACCATGTAGAGACTGTCACGTAAAGAGTGTTCCATCTCCACCAGGAGTTCTGCAGGCATGGTAGAATGGTATCATTTGGCCTTGCTTTTCCCCCAGTATACCCACCATCTTCTGCCCACACTTATACACAACCAGTTGCACAGCCAGCAGCATTCAGGATGATGCTATACTGGCTGAAAATGATCCATCTTAGATTATTTTGTGTTTTAATTTTGCCAGGCCTGGTCAGTTCCCTGGTCTGGTTCATTCCCAGCAGCACAAACCTCTCTGTCAATACGAGCAAGAGAGGCAGGAGAAGAGAACCTGAATGCATAGGAACAAACTTTTACAAGAAAAGGGTCTGTTTATGCTGTGGGAACAGTTAGAGCTACATTAGATCCTAAACCAAATGCTACATATAATTTGGCTGTGGGAACAATTAGCACTGGGGATTATTCCTGGGAAAGAGCAGATGCTTTGCTGTATCCTTTGGAGTACCATTCCTTCGTAACAGTCTGCATGGGATACTTTCTGAGTAGCTTATTACAGCAGGAATACTAAAGGAAAGGGCTCAGCCCAGGCGAATGATTCACTGGCTTCAGTGCCGCAGCCAGTAGGGAACGGGCCGTGGTGTTAACGGTCTTTTTACACCTTGGTTTCTCATCAACAGCACTATCAGGTTTGCTGCCATGTGGAGCCATAGAGCAGACTGGCAGGTATCCAGTACAGGTTTACTGCAGCCCAGGGCTTGCAGCAAACCAGGGACCACCTGAAGCTTTGATGCGCCTTGAGGACTTTATATCACGTTTGCTCTGTACATAAGTAAAACCATGGGGGCTGTTTGGTCTCACAAGTGTGTTATTTTGTTTTTCATTTTACCTGCTAGATCATCTCTCTCCTGCTTAGAGCAAAAAAAAAAAAAAAACACCCAAACTACTCCATCACTTACTCATGTCTTTTTCAGGTCCTCTCAGCTCTCTTTAATACTTGCCTTGCTTTACTGTGCTAAGAGATAGAACATGAAACCTTATTCTGTGGCCTTCGCACTGTGGCGACATGGGCTAGAATGGAACAGCACTCATTCATTCACAAGTGATTTGAAGCTCAATTACTAATAGACCAAGAAGCAACAAGGTGGAAAAGGGCAGTTCTGAACATGCAGAGGCTGGAGGCTGCTGTGCTTAGGCAGCTCTTTCCTTCCAGTCACCCTTCTGGAGCAGATTAGCAGCATGTGAAAACTGCAGTTCCCTAAGGCCAGGAGCCCAGGAGACATCAAATCCTCTCATCTAGAGCCCCCCACTAAGAAAAAGTTGCAAGGTACCAAATTTGATAATAAATCCTAAGATAACTTGCCCATGCCTTTTAATACCCCTGCAGAATTAGGGAAAGGAACAGTAAGGTGGAGAGAGCAGGTTGTCAGGGAACAAGCTCAGGAAAAGCCATTGGAGAAGAGGAAAAGCTGAAGTGATTTTCCTGGTTTATTACTGTCACTGAGTAAGAATTCATTCTGTGGCCACTGTCACAGCTTTGATTTTTTGTTTTCTAACTGGTGGCCTGCAAATGATTCATGAGTAAAGGTGGTATCTGGCACAATCCCATGATCAACAACAGTTATACGGTATCTTTACTACAAGACAGACTCAGGCTGACTTCTCATCTGAACACTTCCAAGCCTTGCACTGATCCACCTGGCAAATACCTTAATTTCCTCTTTAGAATAATTACTTCATGGTTTTACCTCTCTTGCACATTACATCATTTTGTTGGCTGTTTTGTTGGATGGATCTTTGCTCTATATCAGTGTTCACCTTAGAGCTGTAAGGACTCTCATCCCCATGCACTCATGGGAAAGGAACAGGAAAAACGCCATTTTAGATCACTTAATCCCTGTGCTAGGAACCAACAATAAACTCTCCTAAAGTGAGCTGTTTCACTCATTTTGTCCACTCAAAGTCTCAGTACTTTATTCTTAAAGAAATGAACAGGAAAAATGCTACAGTCAAGGAAATATTCTCAATGACTGATTCTCACCACAGGTATAATATTCAGAATATGCATGTCCCCATCATGAACGCATAGAAACAAACTTCCGTAAGCAAAGGTGTGATTACACAACCACATACATGCTGGAATGTACGAAAAAAAGGCTCTGACCAAAGTTGTCTTCAGCCAAAAAACATCCAAGTTTCTTACCCCAAACCCAAAAGGAGTAACAGTGATAGACAAGGAGGACTTTGAATTATTTGAGGAACAAAACCCCAAGCAGCTTTACGGACAAAGTCAGTATTGCATTAAAGGTCACTTCCTAAAGCTGTACTCCAATAAAGAGCTAAGGAGATAAAACATTTTCCAGATGCCTTTTTAACCCTGTATTTGATGGTAAAGGGCTTCCGCTAAACATACTCTGTCTTAATAAATGCATAGAAATCATTAACAATTAAATACAGTGCCAGAAAAGGCATCTATAGCAGTGTCTTGGAAAGCATCTGTTCACTTTACAGTTTATTTTCTTAATTCACTGTGATCTGTTTCTGTTAGGGTTTCTTCATTTACTCGCTGATGACTTGCACAAGTGGGATTCATGAAACGAAGCAACTCAACTGATTTTCAAATATTTAATAAGCAACAGAGGGTTTCTTAAACAGAGAAAAAAAAAGAAGTTTAAGAATCAGCAAGCATTTAACTCTTTTCTCCTTCACTGTAGCCCAAAAGATTTTCCTGTCTCATCTTCTTTCCTTATAAAACCTGTGCCCATTTATTTTCCAACAGTAAAATGTAGGTCTAACATTCTACATTTCTTTCCTGAGAACACATTCCCTAACTAAATAACTGAATACCACAAAAGCGATACACCCCACACAGACATATAGGATTGCAAAATCCACTGACCATCAGATTTTCTCTTACTAGTAATGTAAGAAAAGCAGTGAGAGCTCAGCTCATAAAGGCAATTAAGAATTTGCTTTCCAAAACCCATCACTGGGGCCTTTTGCTGAGAGAGATTTATCAGGTATGTCTAAAAGACATTAAAGTTACATTTGGATATGTTTTCATAGTTTCCCCAAGCATCCTTCAGCACTGAGGGTCCTATTTTTTGAGTGCTAGCCTGGGCAACTCTGAACTTCTTGGTTTTATTTTCAACACCTCCGATCCTGCAGAAGTCACCCAATGCTTCCAGTGCTATGGAATTTCAAACTGGCAGTCAAAAGCAAAAGCACACAAATATCACTGTTTTGGAGTTAAAGCACATCCAGATAATGGCCTTTATTCTACAGCTGCTGCTTGATCAGCAGCTACAAAATAATAAAGCCCTACTTGAGAGAGAACAAATCATCAATCCAAGCGTCTCTATCTCTCTGCTTGGGCAGTTACAGCATTTCTTAAAGGGATTGGTTAATCTTTGACACTTTGCATATTGCCTTAACAGAACACACATGTTGACACTACAGAATCAATGAGAAACACCCAAACCTAGCTGTGATTCAAGCAAAACCAGTTTCAAGCTGGAAGCAGACCATCTTCCTGCAGACAGTATCTGTGCAGTGACGCATACTCAGCGAGCTGCTCCACTGTTCCTTGTAGATGCTGGCTCTAAGGCTGCTGTTTCTACTCAGTTGGTTCCTTCTGTTTTCCTCACCAGCATAAAAAGAAGCAGTAATTCGCTGCCAATATTTAACAAGGCATTACCAGCTGTAGCTAAAAAAATAAATTAGGTTTTTAACACCTCTGTGCAGAATTTTTTCTTCCAAGTTCCTGCTTGCTGCCCACCAGGAGACTGTTTTCTATATTGGGGGATAGAATTTCTCAGGCCACTCCTCCACAACAGTCACACTGATTAAAATCAGGCATGTAAGCTCCTGAGTTTTATTTCTGGTGCTCAGCTATGTGATCACATCACTGTCCACAAGTTGAAATACACAGGAAATTCAGGTTACACAGATTAGCAAGAAGAGCCTTCTCTGACCATCTTGCTATAAGCCAGACCCCAGAGAAGGGCTCATTTCCCCACATTTATATTAAATTAAGACTGCTCAGCACTGTATCACATTTAAGTGTATGCAGGAGACACTGTGCATTACATAAGATTCCACAAGTTGCTTCCCCTTCCATGAGAAAGACCACGGAGCAGGATTCTTCCTGTCTAGCACACTGCTATTTTTAAAGTACCACCCCCTGGAGTTGAAAAAAACCCATAAAAAACCCAGAAAGCCCTCACTGGTTTGAACTGTTATTAGAAAGCAAATCCTGGGCTGATTTTGGCACATAAATCATATGTTGCATTGAGGCTTATTTTAAATTACAGCTTCTTACATCACCTTGGCATATATAGCGCACTGATTGAAGATCCTCGGACTAGATCCTTTTTTCCATGAAGCCCCATTTATAATTTCTAGGCAGGGAGTATCAAAGTAAATAAAGGTTATGTTTATGCTTTAGGATGAACAAACAGTGGACCAGCTCTGCACTCGATTACAAATGAATGTGTGAAAAGGGTGTCTCTGTGACACTCAGAAACTAGATGGGACTTAGTTTGTATGCTATAATCCATTCTCACAAAGTCTAGTCTCACTACTAGAGGTGAAAGCTAAAAGCAGAAATAAGCAAGACAAACACCTTTCAAAGCTCTTTTTCTTGTAGCAATAGAAATATCAATATGCAATATACAGTAATGCATACTGCCAAACATCCAATCAAGGCAATAACAGCCTATGGTGATACTGCAATGTTGATTTTTACCTCCAGTCATCCTTTGAGAGGTTAGATAAAATATTCATCTCTTCATCATCTTGCAAAAGACGATACGCTGCACTAACGTGGTGATTTTCAAGCACGGACCGGTCATTATATAGAATGGCTGAGTCTGACCTAGTATTTAAAAGAAAACATAGGAAAGGTTGTTTCTTCCCTGTCTAACGAGTCTCACATTCATAAATTTTCCTCTGATCAGCTGCAGAGATCAGTTCTATAGCACAGATATGAGCATTTTAAGAGCGCTTGTAACACTTTGTTCACTGCTGGTATTCAATAGAAAAAACCTAAGGATCAAAATTCACTCAGAATCTATTTCCTCAGCTGAGACTCACCTGGACTCCTTGTTACGTACTTTAAAAAATGTAAATGCTGAGAGCTGGGAGAGAGATATAAACCTAGAGTTGAATCATGAGGCTCTTTTCCAGCTCCTGTGTATACTGCTCTCATATTAAAGCATGACTGCACCTAGGTAAGCAACTGAAAGATGTGTCCCAGTATTATTTCCAGACCAGCAAACTGCTGCAAGCAACATATAACTGAACTGGTTTTTGTCATCTGTGCACTAGACTATGCTGTCTGGAAGACAGTTCCCAGCAGGATAGAGTAAGACAAAAGATACTTTGGGCCTTATTTTAAGCACCAGGGCATAAATCTGAAAATTATGAATGGCTAAACCAGTCTGAAACTCTGCTTTGTTCTCTACTCTGCACTAGTGAGTCCCACCCCTGCAGTCCTGATCCAGCTCTGGGACAACAGCACAAGAGGGACGTGGAGCTGTTGGAGAGAGTCCAGAGGAGACCACAGAGATGCTGCGAGGGCTGGACCAGCTCTGCTCTGGAGCCAGGCTGAGAGAGCTGGGCTGGTTCAGCCTGGAGAAGAGAAGGCTCCTTAACGGGAGACCTTGTAACAGCCTGCCAATACTTAAAGGGGGGCCGACAAGAAATCTGGAGAGGGACTTTTGACAAAGGCATGTAGCAACAAGGGGAATGGCTTTAACCTGACAGAGGGGAGATTAAGATTAGACCTTAGGCAGAAGTTGTTCCCTGTGAGGCTGCTGAGGCACTGGCACAGGGTGCCCAGAGAAGCTGTGGCTGCCCCATCCCTGGCAGTGTTTAAGGCCAGGTTGGATGGAGCTTGCAGCAACCTGCTCTAGTGGAAGGTGTCCCTGCCCATGGCAGGGGGTTGGAACTGGATGAGCTTTAGGGTCACTTTACACCCTCTGATGTTCAGTGTTACAGAAATTAAATTACAGCTGTCCTACCTTGAATTCTTCTATAATTATTTGAAAACATAGCAGATCCCTAATTCTTGCATGCATGAAGCTGTAAGAAGTAGAGTGTGGCCTGGCCCAGAACAGAGACAGAAATGTCTTTCTACATTCTCAGGCTTTCCTGAGCATATCTGTTATTTATCCTAGCAACCTTTATATATCTGTGATACACAGCGTGATTCAGCTAACATACTCCAGACATCTAATTTAGGGTAAGATGCAATGCATCTTTAGAAATGCCCAAGTGTGCAGCGTCAGTCGAGGACATCTAGACATTTTGTCATTACTACCAGTACACTCCGATTGTCAAAGGAATACACAAACATTAGATGCCCATTTACCACTACAACTCGAGACTTCCCAATCTTTGTACACTTCTGAATCTTGCTGTCATGTTCAACTCCTTCACTTCTCTTCCACCAACCTAAAGGCCTTATAGAAGAAGCCAAGATCAAAAATACACTGGTCCAGTCTAGCTTGTGATCACTCATTACTGTCTAGTAATTTACAAAGCTCTAAAAAATGATATCCCTGAACAGGCAATGGTAAGCATATCCCCTTGCTGCAGGTGTGGTTTTCTACTCAAGTAAAAATAGTATATGCGTAGTATTGGTGTTCACAGATATTGCTGAATTCTTAATTTATGCAGTTATGCTTCAGTCTTCAAGTTCAACAAGGAGAAGTGTTGTATTACAGGATCTCCTCCAAATACCTTCCTCAAAGTACGTAACTCTGCAGAGCAGTCTGTCTTTGGTAACTTTACACAGAAATATTTTAGGACCTTCCTTTTTCCTGATTATTAATATAAAACAATGCTCAGGAAGCTAGAATACATGCATTCTATTTTAAATGGCTGAGCAGGACAAAATTAAATGCAATGTAAGGACATCAACTTTCCTTCCGTAATTCTTGAAAGTAAAAGCTCCTGCACTTTTCTAGGCAGCTGTGCTGTCATCCTCCAAGGTTTTCCCTCTCCATTTCCCAACCTTTCATCATGATTTACAGTGACCTCACCGCGTCTGGATGTGAAAGTTGTTGGTGGTTCCAGTGTGCTCATAGTCATGGATGGCAGCCGCAAAGATCATAGCGAAGATCTCCAGTTCTGTCAGCCAGTGCTGAAAAGAGATTACAGAGCAATCAGATAAGCTGTCATTTTCCCAGGCATTAAGGCTTTTGTCTTTTAAGGCAAGTTATCCCCTGCTGATAGGCAATGCTGCACCTCGCTGCCTTTCCCTGCAGCCTGCCAGCTGGTTTAAAGCAAACTTCTCTGGTTGATATACAAAAGCTGAACCAATATTTTTCCTGAAGCTTCATCTAAATAAATTAAACTTCACGAGCTAATAGGGCTTAAGGCAGGGCAAAGGGAAACATGTGCCTTTGTTAAAGAGCAATGTGTGAGGAAGAGAAAGAGAACACTCAAGAAAATCAGGGTTATTCAAGTGGAACTTGACGATACATGTCTAAGTATTCACATAACCAACCAGGTATGTATTTTCAGCTCAGCTGACCTGGGTAGCAGAGCCTCAAATACAGAAGAACGTCACTGATGTCCAGTGACTGAAAGTCTTCATCAATCACTGAATAATGAGAACAGGGAGCACAACCACACAAGGTGTACTTCTTGTTATTTATCACTTATAGAAACATTTGAGAAAGACCTGAGTTGATTTCCCCCCTAATTTCCTCATCAAAGCCTTATTTTATAATGTTTAAGTCACTCTGAATTGATTTCTGAATGATGCATCAAGTATTTTATGTCTGGTTTTCCACTGGTAGCACACAAGGTGTGCTGCTAACATCAAGCGCATCAGAGACAAAGGCTTTAAATACTGTAGATGCTGTAAATATTTGTATGAAATGTTTGAATGTATTACATTTACACAAAACCTTTCCCACGGTTGCCAAATATTTTTGTAACAGCTCACTGTCAACCTGTAAACGTTTTGACAGACGTTCATGTATGAACTGATTTTTAAAACACAGCAAAGGCAGTATGGTTCCATAAAGTATTCTAAACACCCACTATAGCTCAGGGACCACCACTGGTCTGTTAACCATGTGCAGGGGAAGCACAGATAACTGCGGGGCTCTGTACACACCAACCTGGCCAGCTCTTCTCCTGTCTTTGACAGACATCTCTGCATAACCCATGAAGAATGAAGCCAGTCTCAATACTAAAGATCTCCTTAAATTAAAGATGCAGTTTGAAAATACTGGGCCAGAAATACTTCATACAATGCCACTGGCCATAATCAAGGCAGCTCTTGATTCATTTACGGGGATGAAGTGATCAAGAACAGAAACCAAACTATTTTCTCATTTCTACACAATTCGTCCAGGACCGGAATGGACAGTACTAGTGGTGGAGAAATCTGGGATGTTTTTGCTTCCAGGTGCAACTTGTGAACAAGGAATGCTTTACAGATGATGAAGAATGTGATTTCAACTTTCAAGCACCAACTCCTGTTAACCATAATGGGGGGAAAAAATGGAGCCAGGGTTTCCAGGCTACATGCTTAGACCTGGACATCCATTCCTCAACCATGTTGTGCCATTTTACAAAAGGAGAGCAAATGATAGAAAAAAATCAGGCAGAAGTTCTCAGCCCAGGCAGAGCAAACCCATGCATGCAGAACTACTATGGAACTCACCCAGCTACTCTAATGTATCTACTTCAGACCTCTGGGCATCATCTAACAAGTCCCACCCCAACATGGTCTCATCACCCAAGTCTTAAAGCATCACTAAGGCAATGAGCTCTGTGTTTGAGGTCTCCTAACCTCACCTTTTAAGACACATACAGAAAAAGTGCTAATTTGCACGCCCTATCAAAGCACCACTTGCTGAACAAGTTTGGGTAATGGAAATAGGGTATAATACACCTGAGGAGAGGTACTAAATATAAGAGCATTTGAGGAAGACCACTCAGAATACGGCTTGGGATTATTACAGTTGTGAACTGTGGGTAACAAATGAATCACTGTAAGTAGCACAAAGTCAAAATAGGCTTGCGAGTAACAGGAAGGAAACAGTAGGTAAATTGGAACCTTTTAGTTCCTTTTTTAATGCTAAAGCCTTGCAAGGAAAAGTAAACAAAATGGAAAAAAGCCTGCAGAGAATGGATGCAATCTCCATCAAAGCAATGATATTACCTTTCACTAGTCTGTGATGGACTTCATCTAGGGAACAGAGAGCTACTTTTAAAGAATAAAGCCATCAAGAACTATTGAGAAAGCAGCAGGACGCTGTTGAAGGTGAAAAGAGAATGAAAATGTGAATGCTTTTCATTTCTAAAAGGTTGACAAAACCAATCTAGAACAAAACCTGCAAACTTTCTGCCATGGTAGGGGGTGAGAGCTGGCAGGGAAGAAGGCAGGAAAAAACTAATATTGGCTTCCAGAGTGGAAACAAAAAAAGCGTAATGAGGCATGACTTCCTTGCACCAATGTACAATAAAAATGAAGAATTAGCTACTAAGGCAAATCATTGGCATGGAAACAAAAGGATCAATGCATAGAGAAAGAAAAAGGAAAAGGAAAGAGCAGTGTTTCCAATGCTAACAAAACAAATGGATGCTTTTCCAAGAAAATGTTACAAAGACAGCAGTAATCAGCTTGTTTTCTTCCCCAGACTTTATGGTCTTTTATTCCAAAGTAATCATCATTTTCAGAGCTCATGATGATCTTAAGCTTATTAATCACAATAGTCTGGAGGAGAGGAGGATCTCACTTCTCTTTGGCACAAACAAATGTTACAGAAGTCTTGTGCGTCTGCAGTTTTCCAGGTCTGCTGTGGGAAACAGTTTCCTGTCACTCTTGACAATATCAGTGAAAAGAAGTTTACCATTTGCACCTCATTTTCTGGATTCACAAAGAAATCGTATGGCAATTCCTAATAATTGTAAAGATTGATCAGAAAATAATACTGAAGAAAGTAATAATCACAGCTGAACAACAGAGTTAGAGAATGAAATGAGCAAAAAGTGTGCCAGCTCTTAGAAGTTGCCCCTATACATCATGCTTGTAAACCAACCCTCCAAGAGATAAATACCAGAGTAATTCCAAATTCGCTTTCAACATTATCTCTATGAGAGAACCCAAAATATTCTATCTCATATGGTAAAGTATAATGAGTTCATTCCAAGTCATCATCCTGAGGAGGAAAAAAAACCCCAGGAAAACTGAAGAGATTTCAGGCACTGAATATGATTAGAGAGAAAGAAGATTTTTTTAACTGAAGAAAGAAGAAACCTGGAATAAAACTGTTGAGAGAGCTTGGAAATAACAGGGAGCATGACAAAGACAAATGAACCATGTAAAGATAAACCAGACAACTCTTTCTTCCCATTGAGACTAGAATAAATTAACACTACACAGACTATTTAAATCTGAAAAGTAAAAGTGCTTTTTCTACATTGCAAGTGACTTTTTAACAAGATAAATGAGGTGTTTTTTCTATCTTATTGTATTACTTTTTCACATCTTTGTCTTCATCCCATTGAAGAATTAAACCAATGGCTCTAGCACTGCCTCTGAAACCAAAGTCTTGTGTTCCAGCATGTCTAAGTTCCTTGCATAAATATTGCGAAAGTGATGATCTGAACAACAAAGTATGTTAGAGTAAGGATACAATACTGATGTGAGCTAATTCTGGAAACAGGAGAATGTCCCCTACCTTGCTTTACCATAGGAGAACCTACTATGCATGTTAGAAGGTGGCCCTGCTGTGAGTAGGAGGTCAGGAGCACTGACCATTGGAGCTTGTTTTCAGACTACATGAATCTATACACATTGAAATGGGTTGTATCCTGCAGGGGAGGTGGGGTGGAAACTAAGAAAAAGGGGGGAAAAAGAGAAGAAAAAACAAAGATTAAAAATGGGTTCTAACAAGGGAAGCAAAGCTGAAATGTCACGGTTGCAGGGCAGTGTTGGGAGTCCCTTGCTCCTGATAGCAGGAGTGGTTTCTTATTGTGCTTCATTAGATCCTAAACAAATGCCACATACCATTTGGTGTTTGAAACAATCACTGCTTGAGTGATTCCTGGGAAAAAGCAGACACTTTGCTATATCCTCTGGAGTGCCACTCCACCATAACAGTCTGCATGGGATTCCTTGTGAGTAGCATATTACTGTAGAAAATACTAAAAGGAAGGGCTCAGCTCAGGCAAATGACTCACTGACTTCAGTGCCACGTGTACATATCCTCACACACATAAATGGTAATTTCCCCTCTACAGATGTCAGTTCAGCATATGCACATTCTCTGACCTCTGCACATATTTCAGAACATGGTTTCCTCTGAAACAGAGGAAAAATACTTCATATACATGAAGCAAGAAAGCATTTTAATGCTGAGGAGCTCTTATTTGTCACTTCAGGCATCACAACAGCAGGTGACTTGGAGAGGTGAGTGGATGCAGACACTTACTGGAGATAGGTAATGCATGAGAGAAAAACTCCTAAGACATATGCTGGGGAAGATAGGTTTGTGCATTTGCTGCCAGGTTGAGATAAGGCTGAAACACATTACAGAGAGAATGGAGGACAGCTATTTAACCATTTCTTGTGTTTGCTTCTCAGTCAGATTGGAGCCTGGGATACACACAACTGTTACTTTTTGCTTTGACCATCTTAAGCACTTGGCTTCTCTGTCTTCAACGTCTACAAAACACATTACAGTGCTGCAGTTCACATGCTGCAAAGCAGCATCACCCAGGAGATCTGTGGCAGAGCGAAAAACTGAGCTTGGGTTTATCATTCATCCTCTTTTAGATTACTGTTTAAAGAATTCCCAACATCTTCACCTTCCTTCTATTTCTAAATAAGCCTAAATCTCTACTTTCATTAGTACAGCCATATCAAACAAAGTTTGTCTACGGTGCGAATGGTTTCTAATGGGGATAATCATAATCTCCTTACTGAGTAAAAACTGTTGTAATCTCATTATATATTCAGGGTGCCAACTCTTGTACTTACTGCTACGCCTGTCTTGAAAAGGAGGTAATGGACCGTCTGTGTCACATCTGCAGCGTGCATCAGGTTGTGGTAAGGATTTTTATGTTTGCTGTAGCCAACCTCCAAAGCTTCCACAAAGGACACCAGGGCAGAAATGGGGATCTGAGTAAAGCAATTAAACCCAAATGAATTAAAAGCAAAAGAATCACCTTTAATGGCTAGCGTTCAGAGGGCAGCATTTCGGTAAGAGGTCCCAAAGGCAGTTTGTACTTCACAAATAAATAACATGCTAAAATATCTGAAACAGGCACTCAAGAGAGGGTGAATCCAGGTTACTTCCTCAAACAAGCTTTCCCTTCCCTAATTACATTATGGATGACTCATCCCACATATAAGCACACACAAGTAAGTACACTACAAAATGCTGTCTGGAAAACACACACAGCATAAAAAGTAACAGAGAGCACTTGATTGATTGAGTGCCCCTGGAGAAATATTTCTAATTAGGCCACAAGCATCTGTCTGTTCTCCCCAGACCCACTGGAATGTATCTCTGCTTTACTATGTACATTCAAGATTTTCTAACGAAGCACATCATACAGCAAGTCTGAGATACTCTACTAAGAGGACTAACTTATCAGTTATCAGATACTAACTTATCTACTAAGAGGACTAATTTATCAGAACTCTGGCTTTTCATGGTGAAATCACAGAATTACAGAATCAATAAGGTTGAAAAAGACCTTTAACATCATCAATCCAACCATTACCCCAGCATCTCCAAGTCCATCACTAAACCATGCCACTAAGGGCCTCACCTACGTGGTTTTGAACACTTCCAGGGATGGTGATTCCACCACTGCCTGGGTAGCCTGTTCCAATGCCTGAGCACCCTTTTGGGAAAACATTGCTCCTAATCCCCAATCTAAACCACCCCTGGTGCAGCTTGAGGCCATTTCCTCTTGCCCTACCACTTGTTGCTTGGGAGAAGAGACCTAAGAAGAACCATCCTATGTGCTTGCCATACTTTTGTGACTCCAAGCGTAGAACTGTGCATACTTGAGAAAAGGCAATTCAGGGCATTTCTACAGAGGATATGCAGGCGGTATCAGTTGGCAGCATGGGTTCTCCAGTTTCATCTCCCCAGACAGCAAATACCCTGAACATTTGTATTTCCATATTATAAGGGGAGGATGCAGGTCTGAACATTTAATTTCTTCAAGCAGGAGTAGAGGGAAGCTGAACAGAATCTGAGATGGAAGAAGAGACCCGTCTTCTAACTACTGACCTTGAAGCGGTTGATCAGATCATAGCGTGTGAGAAGTTCATAGAAAATGAATTTCAGTGCATGATCCCCACTGGCATCATTTAGTGCAAATACATCAAAGGACCACTTGTCTACATTCTGCAAGAGGGGGAAGAAAAGACAGTTAATATGGTCATCCCTTTTACAGTGACAGTCCAATTTCTATCACTTTATATCTACAAATGGAGAATTGTATGACCCATGTTTAAGAAGCTTTCATTAAGAACACGTATGCTGTTTGTTTATTCTAAACATGGCAATTCTCCAGACCAGAATTTAATCAGGAAAGGCTAAATCCCAAAAGATTCAGTATCTTTCATATCTGAAATACTGGGATGGCCCTATATGAGTGATTTTACCACCCCTACCCACATGCTCTGTCTGTGAAAAGTAATAGTATCTTTGAAGGAAACAGCAATAACAAAGATATGTTTTTTAATTATATTAAAGCCTCTGGATTTTGCTGTCCCTACAGAATTCTTATGACTTTGTATTGTGAGCAAAGCACTCCAATGCTTTACTCCTGTTTGAAACAGAAGAAGCTGATACATTTTTTTTTCAGTTAAAAAAATACAGACACCTGTAAGTAAGCACTTACTGTTTAATCAACCAAAAGAATAACTTACTAAGAACTACCCTGCTGCACCCGAAAAGCAACTTAGATCCTTCTGATTCTAGTATTAATCCTGAATTGTGATTATTGCAGCTTAAACTGGCCAAGGACAGCATGATCCTAATTTTCCTTATATATATATATATATATATATATATAAAAATATATATATATATATATTTAGGGTAAGTGATTCCATTTGGGCTTTCAGAAAACTACAGAGCAGGAGAAAATACAGAAAGGTTACATGAAGTGCTAACAATGATATAAACCCCAACCTTTATAACAGAAGAGTAAACATGTAATTCCAGTTGGGAAAGTTCCAGTCAGCTGTAAATTTGAATGTTGCAGGGTGGTCAGTCAAGAGACTGAGGAGGGAAAGCTCTCTTCCCAGCTCATAAAGATGAAGTATAAGGTATAAACCTTCATGCAGAAGGTTGAGTTCAAATCTCAGCTCTTAGGGAAGGCTGTGGGAGCTGACAACACTCATTATCTAGCAAGATAAAGCTCCTTGATCTCAGAATTGGATGTGCTTGAAACCCTATGAACCATTCTCTCCTAACAACAAAGAGGAAAGGTGCAGAAGAAGTTACAGCTACAAGAATGACATACAGACCAACTACACAGCCGCATCTGGCACAGGACCAGATCTCAAACTCTCTTGCCTACTGAGAGCTTTGATGTGCTTCCCACAGGGATTTATCCAAATGACACTCCTTAAGCTACTTATTAAAGATTGACATCTATACATGGAAGTTTCCTTCCACTTCCAAACTCTGTTGCAGGTTACCTCCCATTTCCTTGTGGAACTTCCACCAAGAAAGAATCATAGAATCATAGAATAGTTAGGGTTGGAAAGGACAACTACAGCTGCTCCCAGTGCAAGAAATAGGGTTTGGCTAGACATAAAGTTGAATACTGTTAAGGATTAGAGTCCATCTAAAAATCTGACATCTTTTTTAAGCAATTCTAAAAAATGCTAAATCACAATCACCTACTGAGCTCTTAAAGCCCAACCCACCTTTGCTGTTTGTTGTCACGGTCATGTTCCAAGTTAGGACCTGACTTCAAGTCAAATGCGAAGGACAGTGACATTTAAGCACCTTGTGGTTCATCACCCACACATCAGCATAGCTACAGGCCTTCTTATGTTCTGAATTAGATCAATGTATCCTGGTACCGGCTCTCTCCATGATGGGCTGATTCTGATAACCTTGCTACTTGCATAATGTTGGTTACATAGAGCTGAGTTTTCATGTTGTAGAAGTATAGCCCACAGAAAGGCTAATTAGTGAGGCAATATCAGGGACGCTTAAGGTGTAGCTCTGCTTTCATCTATCCTAGTAAATCACTAGCTTGCAGAGCAGTTGGTATTAGAAGCTGTGTGCAGCCACACACTGAAGGCAGGGTCAAGCTTCTCCAGAGATGATTTGTGGCCCAAGTTACAGAAGAGCAATCATAAATTGCAGCTTTTCAATACTTTCAGTGGGTGTTGGAGAGGAAAAACAAGCAAAAGAAAAAGTTCCACCAAGAAAACATGTTTTAAAGCCCTTGAACAAACTTAGAAAATGGTCAAGAAAAATAATGCGCAAAGTATCCACTCAGTCAATTGTATTTTCCTGGGTTTTGAGTGTTTTTATATTGTACTCACTTAGTCAGTAAAGCAAATTAATTTAACACTTGCATGTATAAAATAATTTACTTTTTGGTCATATGGCATGGAAAACATCTCAACTATGTTGAAGTTTAATTCACTGTAAGGCAGTAGTGTTGTGGAAAAAAAGGGTTTTTTTTTACTTGATGTACTTTTCCTGTAGCCAACGTTGCGCTCTTGCAGCATATAAAATTTACCAAACAGTGAAACTGAAGAACAATATATCAGAATTGTTCTTTTGCAAAAAATAATGTAACCATATAGATGCAAAGTTTCACAATAGATCTATTTTACTGAAGGAGAAATCCTTGCTCTTGTCAAGCAAACAGAAGTTTTGCTATTGACAATAATGACAGCAGCATTTACCCTGAGTAACTAGGGGGGAAAATCCTCTTACCAGACACATGACAGTGTCACAGATGGCACAGAGGCCTGCAGCAACACCAATTATGCTTTGAAAATTTGTGGATTTTGTGACCTTAAAAAAGATTTTAACACAGAACAGACCCTGATACTGGGGGCAGGTCTAAAGGGATGCAGAACTTCATAGATGTCTTGTGACGGAGGAGAAAAACTGGAAGGCATGACATTGCTGTAGCCACAGATAAACAGACACTGCAAGTGATTACAGGTTCTGAGTTCATTACCTGTATATTAGCTAGCCCAGAAAATATCACAGTGACCACACGGGCATCAGAAAAGGCTAAAAAATCCACTTCTAAAGTAACTACCTCAGCAGCTAGTTAACGTGAAGTTCTGTCTGTAGCACTACAGTGCTGAACAGCAGATCACCACAACTTACTGGGTAAAACAACATACTCATTCAAACATGTCTGTATGAATGGTATGTATGGCCATTAGTCAACTGGCAGACAGGGTGATTGCCCCACTGTATCACCTTTTTCTACCATTGCATGGCATGCTTGAACCTCATACAACATGTAGTCTGCAAAGCTACTGTGTAGGAAGCTGGTTGCTAACTGGTGTTCGTAGTTCGACAATTCCTGCCTAAAGCAAGAACCTTGCAATTGTGCCATGCATTAAATCTGTCTTCTTTTCTTTTTCTTTCAGACTATTTCCGACTAATCAGTTTTCCCCTGAAAGTCATGGAAGGGTCATTATTCCTAAACTGATTGTCACCTCGAAGACCTAAAACTGAGCAATACAAGAAATTCCCTTCTTTCACAGCAGCTTATCCTTTTCCTTTTCCACCTCTCTCCATCCATGTTTTCCTTCTTCCCTGTGGGAGGTTGTGATTGATTCTAGCACATCATAAAGACCTCAGTTTAATCACTGTAATCTAGAACAGAGCTGTAACCTTCACAACCTGATAACGGCCACAGCCTTGAACTCTATTCTTTCCATTATTGAAAGGATATTCCCCTAGGCCAATAAACGATTAATGTATGTGAACTAAACTAAATGTCAAAAAGAAGGAAAGAGCAAGTAGTAAGACCCCCTTATCAAGTTAAATATCGCAGTGTTACCTTGATGCTTTATACAGAACCACCACCCCCAAACACCTTTTACTTGGATTACCTTTAGCACTCCAATTACAGCTGGTGGGTAGCTCAAACCAACCATATTTGAAGTCCGTCTGTACATTCTACCAAGATAAGACAGATAAGGTAACACATAAATAGAATTAAACAAAACAAGCCAACCAAACAAACAAACCCAATAAAGCAACACACCATTACAGGAGACCTATTTAGCCCAGGAAACCCTAACTGCAATTTGGGGGGTGGATTTACTCCTTCTTGTTCCTAACTTGCTATTACATAGCTCCTAACTGACTTATATATTCCCCTTTGTCTCAATGCCATTCTTTTCGTAGAGCCTGCCCTAAGACTCTACACTCCCTGGTATCTCATAGCTTGGTTACCTGACAGGACATCACAGAGAGTCTACCAAAATCAGGTCTTCATCAGAGGGAAAGGCTACACTTAAATAAACAAGATGTTCCCCATTTGCTGCAGATGACTATATTACTCTTTCAGTTCCTTTGGTCCTTGCTGATCCACATGTGAGCTAATTCTGAATTACTTCAGAAACCATTTGTTGTCTGCAATGAATCAACTCCAGTTCAGTACAGCTGTTACTGTTGTCTGAGTTTGTTTAAGATTGGTATAAAACCTTTTGGATGTTCACCATGTGTGTGTATGAGAGGGAGAAAAAGAGAGAAAGAATAAGGCAATAATAAACATCTGCAACCATACTAAACAAAGCACTGAGGATGTACCAGCTTTTAAACTTGTTTTCAGGCCATGCTGTTTTTAACAGGCATGGTGGATAGCTAAAATGCCTTCATACAGACCACCCTTTCTTGCATTTAAGAAAGGTAGAACTAAAAGAAGATGATGAAAAGTTCTCCCATCGGAAATGATTGTGTGTGAAGTCTTCCTTCACTTCCCCCCCACACACACCTTTTTTTTTCATCCTGTGCACTCAGACCTGAAAAAAGTCATCCCTCTTTGGAGAATTAAATTCATCCATTCCCCAAATTACAGATTTTTTTTTACCCCCTCCTCTGATGCAAATCACAACAGAGAAGAATGAGAGAACTCAGTGGGTTTTCTGAAATCCTCCCTGAGCTCCAGAGTTTTCACATCAGTCATGGTCTACAGTTCATTCCAGCAATACTAAGTGACTAAGACAACGTAATTACATGCTCCTTCACCTTTCCACAAATATCCCAGCTTGTACTGCATGGACAATACTCCTGAAACGGGGTTTTTCCTCTGTCCTTTTGAGCATCATCCCCATTTGCCGCGTGAAGGTAGAAGCCAACCAGTCCCGGACCTCTGAGGGTACGGAGTCGGACTGGATGTCACTGAGTTCATCTTCTGTGTCCAGTAAACGCCTAGAAAGGGGAGGAAAAAGATGGGTAAACAGACTCCCTTGGAGAACACTGCAACATTATTAATGAAGAAGAAACTCATATATATTCTAATTAAAGCAGTTGTTAAAAGCCTTTGGTTTGTCAACCCTAATGGAACACAAATCGTACAAGTCTTCAACAGATTGTTTATTCTCTTGTATAGTTAAATGTCGGACTATGAAACTCGCTATTGGGCCAACAAACAAGAAGTATCAGCCTTCTGAAGCACAACTACATCATCATCCACTGACTTCTCATCTTCAGCTTGTCAATATTCCTGACCTTTCTGCCCTTCACAGCTCATTTACAGTCATGCCTATCTTCCCAATTAGTATTATACAGTTCTCTCTCATTCTGATCATCTCAGGTGACTCTACAAGTGCATTTAGCATATAATAGAGAGGGGAACTCTTCTGCAACATCTTATCAGTCTACCTCTATCACGACCTTTTTTTAATTTCAAAGATTTGGCACAAGTGAAAAGATTTGGAACTTGATAATCTTAAGATCCTTTCCAACCCAAACTATTCTATGATTCTGAGATTTAACACTACTCAAAAGGAACAGACAAGTAAGAATTTAAAAACTTTCTGGGAAAGTGGGACACAATTACTATGAAAACATTTCTCCAATAGAATATATATTAAATATATGATTGTTTTTGATCTCTTCCCCTGCCACAGGAAACTTAAAGAAGCTTTTAGACCAACGAATAAAGATTTGCTTTACACAGAATACAATATTTTAATGATTAAAAGCATCATGCTTGTGAGTAATAAATCTTGGCTAAACCAACTTTTCCAGCTAATGTATAAATTACAGTTTTGTGTCGTTGGTAGATATAAGAAGAGTGCTGATGTCTGTAGCTAACTCACCTAGTTTCATCAATATATACTGACTCAAGAACAGTTGCAGCATATTCCAAGTTCTTCTTTAGGTCTACAACTGAAGCTTCCCCTCTCTCTAGCTGCTTTACCAAAGACCGCAACCTAGAGAAAAGAAAAACAAAAAACTGATTAGTACAAAGAGAAACAGGTTTGAGAGTGAGTGTCAGTTCAAAACTGATCTAGCATGAGACCTAGCATACATGATTGGTTTTGCTCAGCCTAGAGAAAAGAAGCCGCAGGGGAGACCTTATCATTGTGTTGCAGTATTTAAAGTGGCTATAAAGAAGATGGAGACCCCCTTTCTACAAGGAGTCACATAGAAAAGACAGTGGGTAATAGGCACAGGTTATTCCCAGGGAGATTCCATTTGGACACTAAAGAAAAATCTTTCAAAATGAGAACAATCAGCCATTGGAATAATCTCCCCAGGGAAGTGGCGGATTCCCCAACATTGGACATGTTTAAAATAGGGCTGGACAGGGTGCTGGAGCATCTAGTCTAGGTCATGCTTCTGCCAAGAAAGGCTGGACCAGATGATCCTTGAGGTCTCTTCCAGGCTGGTATTCTACGATTCTATGACTGCCAGGTGAAAACTTTTGGAAGTTCATGAGATTTTTTAAGCCATATACGAGAAATCAATAAAAATCCCTTTTCAAAGATCAGTCACAATGATATGAGGCAAGCATGACATTATATTTAGGGTAAAATAAATCAGTGAGTTATGACTGTCCCCTACTCATACTGACATAAGTTAAAATAGAAATCACTTGGCATTTAACAGAGGAGCTAAGAGAAGGAACTTTCATTCCAACCATAAGAAATGAAGTAACTTCTTAAGTAGCATCAGTTGGCAAATATCCATTTATGAGGATAGGTGTACATATACATAAAATCCTAGTACGGTATATTTAGAAATACTGTTGCAGAAATACAGTACAAGGTCAGGAAACGCTGTGATTTTCCTTAGATCAAGTGGTCATCCTTAGGCTACCCCATCTATACTAAACAGAATTCACAGAAGTTTTTTATCAGGTTATTATCAGGGATGGGGGGAACAGACTCTGGAAACAAAGACGTCTCTTGTGTCACATACAATTAATGGTGAATTAATTTTGTCTGTGGCAAATTAGAAAAACAGAAAAGGGAAGAAAGAGGAGGTGAGAATGCAAAAGTAAGGAGTAAAATCTAAATAGTTTAAATAATCCAAGAATATCCATGCTTACAATCAGAAGATGGATATTATCATTCCTTTAAAAGGACAACGGGATAAAGATTTGACATGTTAAAAGTTTTTTGTGAATATCTTAAGCAGCAGTTAAATAAACATTAAAATATATATTTAGCAATGCAGCAGAAATCACAAGTTGTTACTTTGTCCTATTCAAGATGAAAAAATGTAGATGAGTAGTCATGTCATATAAAATCTGTCTTCTACTTAGAGGACAATTCTTCCTCCGCTTAGTCTATATTCCAGGGAGTAAAATACCTTTTCCACTTTCCACCTTTTCCAGTTCAGAGCTAGAGCCCAATACAGAGGTCTGGTCTCACTTTATTTACCATAGTGAGAGCCCAACCTCCTAGAACAGACATATGCAAGTTCTTAAAATCAAGCATCTGTATTCCCTTGCTACCACAATGCCCCTGTGGCATCAGTGCCTTCTAGAGAAATGAAGTCTCCATTGCCTTCTAGAGAAATGAAGTCTCCATGGGGCTGTATTTCACGGCAGAGCTGAGGAGCAGTCAGTCTGCCTGGTGAAGTGCACCAGCAGTTCTTTGCAGCTGGGTAACCTTCCTCCTCCTTTCCCCATATAAACAACAAGGCTATGGAGAACAAAGATCATATGAAATACTGATTGGTCCTATGGCCAGGTCACATAAACTCCACTTCTACTGACAGTGGTACTGCTGATACAGAGCTACATATTTAGCTTTACAAAGAAGCTTTAGTGTGAAGTGGACCCTCCATCTCTTGGAGGATTAACTCATCCACTTATCAGCAGCCAAAACCCCAAACTTCATGCCTGATGTGGGAATGGCGATGGAAAGGTCAGTGATGAACAACTGTAGTGAATGCAACTGTTCTCATCTTTGAAAACCAGATCGAGAGCATTTAACTACGCCAGCACGTTTCCCTCCAATCCTGGAACCCAGTTTGGGTAATCCATGGAGCAACCTCAGCCCCACTGAAGAAGGAACATGATTCAGTACACCCATACACCTCTTCTGTGTAACTGCACCATCAGGTGTGAGCAGCAACATGCGTTTGATGAGCACAGGTAGGAAAGGTGCTCCCCTACCTTTCAGCTTGATTCCATCCTCAGGCAGCACAAGCAGATGAATTCCCTAGAGCTAAGCCACTGATCCCTCCTAACCATTCCCAGCTTTTCGCACCAATGCAGGAGGGAAGGAAGAGACAAAACCAAAACAGCTTTCATACCCAAACATTGGTTCATATGCCTCCCGTCTTCCTTCATCCCATGTATGGGGAGTTCATAGGTGTGACCCCTTAACTAGTTACCAGAAACATCATTTGTGCATAAACCACAGGAATCAATATTGCAGGAGAAACATTATCATTGGCTCTTCCTGACTCTTACTTCATTGATTTAAGTACCTGGCAGCTCTGTGCCACAAGTCATTCAAAATTCATGTTCAATAATAGCACAGTGAGTAATGGTTGCTTCATGGCACCAACATTCATCACCAAAGATTATGCAGAGTACTGCGTGCATCAATCATTTGAAAAAACAGAAGTGCAGTTGTTATAATAAAACCTTGTCACACGATCAGCCGCTTTCATGTGAAAAAAAAAATTACACTGTCTTTGTCTTACCATCCATTATCCACAACTATTTCTGATTCATTGAGTCACAGCAGCTGCTGCCAGTTACCTTTACTAAATAAGAGCCTGGTGATAGTTTATCTTTAATGCATTCCATGTACCCCTGGGTTTTTTTAAGTAGTCCTAAATGAAATCACAAAGTTAAGGCCAGGCTGTCCCACAGAAGGGCATCCAGGCAGATTTATTAGCTGAAAAACTCTGTTTCAGGATGGATGAAGTAATTCTGGAATTCAATCAAATTCACCAAACTGTTCTGACTGAAATAAAACCATTACCAGAAACTTTTAACTCGTTTTATTTTTAGAGGCTTGTGTTAAAGCCATGGAAGCACATGGCAAGATGCTGACTTCCTATCTTTACCCTATAGACCAGTCATTGCAGTGGAGTCCCATGTAGCACTTCACAGGAAAATGCTGAGTCTGTCAAATTGCCAAAAGAAATATACTGATATAATCATCAATTTAAGGAACCCCGTTCATCATTTACTTTGCTTTTACTGGGACTGGTTGTATGAACAAAATACTTTTTTCAACCAAAGCATGGTTTGTTCTGTCCTGATTTTAAAAGTTCATTATAGACTGATCAAAACCTACATTTTCATTCCACTTTTTTATTTCCTTTTCCTTCCAAATTCAGAACTAAAAATCCACACAGATCCACCAGACCTCATTCCACAGAACCCCATGGAGCCAGTTGTAGGAGAAGCATCTACTGCCTGTGTATAAGGAGATTCCAGGCCAGAAAGGAGCTGGAAAAGAGTTAACCTCTTCTGGGAGGTTAACCACTTCTAATATTAAGCTGCTTTAAGACCATGGCACATGCCACGAGTGAGCCAGGCTGTAGGTCAGCCAAAAGTTTCTCAGATTATGGTCATCAGTATAGCAGTTACAAAGAATGGGTTAGTCACACAATGTTAGCTCTAAATCTAGCTGTTTAATTATATTAAGACACAGCTAATGCTTTTCTTAATGAGATTTCCAAGGGAAGCTATTCCTCCAGTCTGCAAATTCTCTGTGAACATGTGCCAAATATAATTGAAAAGGTCTGAGAGCCTTTGTTCAACTCAGTTATTTCATGTTTTAGCCCTCAGAAAAATCCCCTAACTGCCTAAAGGAAAATCCCAGACCTGAGCAATGCTATTCATTTTAGCTTTTGCTGACCCAACAGGGAGCTCAAGTAGGTGTAACATCTTGGAAAGGGGCCCATTCCAAAGTACAGCCTCCCACACTGCCCTTCCAAAGATCTGCATGCACCCACCATAAAACCTGGTGGATTTATGGGTTTTATACTCCCTATCCGTGGGAGTATCTGCAATTTATCCTACTGAATTCAGCAGTGCAATGCATCTGTGTAAAGCAGGAGATTTGGGTCCTCAGTGAAGGTGAGAGGTTATCCAAAGCTTTTCCACAGCCCCACTCCTGCTTTTTTTAATGTTTCCCTAAAGTACTTGCTATCACAAGATTCAGGAAGATAGAAAGCAAATGACTAGAAACTGGGCCACTTTCCTCAATCCATGAGAGATACACAGCTCAAAGATCCAAAGCCACTCTAGATCCAAACTGAGTAACAGGGAAAAGTGAGGCTGTTTTCTTGAAATGTAGAATTTCTGAGTAACTGCTACAAGCATTGTCCTCTCTGTTATAAATAAAACAATATCTGTGTACAAATATTTATCTCCTTAGCCAGAGGGCTTGCTTTTATGCTGTTGATATCACTGCAGAGCTTATCACCACCACGGTCTGGATACCAGTCAGCTTCTATTACCATGCAAAACACACATCTGAATACTTTGAGGCAAGTTCCTTCAACAAGCGTGAAGTGTGCAAAGCTGCGTGGCCGGTCTCTGTGCTTCTTTTCAAAGCTTTATGACTGTGATTCACCACACGTTTTCAACCACACAACTCAATCTTTGGCTTTAAACTGACAGAGGGGAGATTTTGGATTAGACATTGGGAAGAAGTTCTTCCCTGTGAGGGTGCTGAGGCCCTGGCACAGGGTGCCCAGAGAAGCTGTGGCTGCCCCATCCCTGGCAGTGTTCAAGGCCAGGTTGGACAAAGGGGCTTGGAGCAAGCTGCTCTAGTGGAAGGTGTCCCTGCCTGTGACAGGGGTTGGAGCTGGATGAGCTTTAAGATCCCTTCCAGCCAAACCATTCTAGGACTCTAGGACTGGGCCATCTGAGGAAAAAAGCTACTTTGAAAGCACATTAAAAATATCACTACAAATGATCCAGGATGGAATATTTATCCCTGGTTTATTACTC